TGAAAAATCAGGAAGAGATATGGAGAAGAGTATATACACTTTCCTAACTATAGATCGTTGGGAATCGTTGAACTACATGGGATATAGGTTGGCCGCGCTAAGACCGGTTCATGGAAGGCTGGCTCTGAGGTTCCTCGACTGGGTCATCAGACAACCTGGCCTGGAGTTAGGCCATCTCACCCATATTTTGTCTGTTACGGCTCATATACTTGTCAGGGCTAGGATGCATGACTCTGCAAAATCGATTTTGAGACAGTTAACGCGGATGGGTGAGGGTCCAAGCTCGGTATTTATTACCTTAATGGACACATATCCTCTTTGTAATTCTAATCCTTCAGTTTTTGACATTCTCATGAGGGTTTATCTTGGAGAAGGAATGATTGGAGATGCTCTGCAGGTCTTCTATTTGATTATTTATAGGGGATTTAAACCTTCAGTCGGTACTTGTAATAAGGTCTTGGCTGCAATGGCAAAGGACAAAGCCGCTGGGTCAATATGGTCATTCTTCAGTGATATTCTTGAGAATGAAATTCGTCCTGATGTTGCAACTTTTAATGTCTTGATCAATGAGCTGTGTGCAGAGGGCAAGCTAAAGAAAGCTGGTTTTCTATTGAGAAAGATGGAAGAAAGTGGTTGTCACCCTACCATTGTTACTTACAACACTCTACTCAATTGGTATTGCAAAAAGGGAATGTATAGGTTGGCTCTTCAGCTTATTGAAAATATGGATGGCAAGGGTATTAAAGCAGATGTCTTCACATTCAACATACTTATCGATGGTTTGTGTAGGAAAAATATGAGTTCAAAGGGCTATTTACTATTGAAAAAGATGAGGAAGATGTTGATAGACCCTAATGCAGTCACTTACAATACTCTTATCCGTGGGTTTATCAGGGAGGGGAAGACTGCAATTGCTACTCGTGTTCTGGATGAAATGTCTAGTTCTAAACTTTCTCCTAATTGTATTACTTACACTGCTTTGATTGATGGGCTTTGCCAAGAAGAAAAGTTTCACGAAGCAATGAATGTTTTGATGAAGATGGAAAAAGAAGGGTTGACACCTAATGAAACTTGTTATGGGGCTCTTTTGAATGGTTTATGCAAGCACGCACAATTCAGTATGGCAAGAAGTTGTCTTGATCAGATGAGGAGGAATGGTATTACTGTTGGTCAGATTCCATATACCATGTTGATTGATGGATTTTGCAGGAAAGCGTTGCTTGCTGAAGCTATTGAATTGTTTGAGGAGATGCTAAAAGATGGTTTAACCCCTGATTTACTTACATATTCAGTGCTCGTGAGTGGATTATGTCGGGTTGGGAAGATAAAGGTTACGAAGGAGGTCATCTCTAAGATGTATAGATCAAAGGTTCTACCGAATAGTGTCATTTTACAAACACTTATCCACTATTTTTGCAAACAAGGAAATGTCATGGAGGCATTGAGACTGTATGCAGTAATGAACTGTTGTGGCTACGAAGCAGACCATTTAACATGTACTGCCTTAATTGCTTCTCTTTGCAGAAGTGGAAAAATGGAAGAGGCAGAGTGCTTCACGCAGCATATGTGTCGCATCGGTCTAGATCCTGATTCCGTGTCGTTCGATTGTCTGATCAATGGACATGCAAATAAGGGACATTGGATGAAAGCGTTTTCACTTTGTGATGAAATGATCAAATCAGGATATCCTCCAAGCCCCTTTACTTATGCGAGTCTCCTCAAAGGACTGTGCAAAGCAGGACATGCGGAAGAAGCGAAGAAACTCCTTATTAAAGTCGGACTTATACTATCTTCTGCGGATACTCTAGTCTACAACTCATTGATACAAGAGTTGAGTGAACGTGGAAATCTTCAGGAAGCATTAGCTCTTTATCATGGAATGGTGAAGAATGGTGTGCTGCCTGACAATCACACATATTCAAGTCTTATTGCTGGTTTTTGCAGGAAGCGCAGGATAGTTGCTGCCATTATTCTACTTCAGTCAGCTGTTAGACTGGGAATTCCTATCCCAAACATGGTCTTGTATACGTGCCTGATTGATGCTCTTTTCAAGGAAGGGCAAGGAAAAACGGCTTCCTATTACTATGAAGAGATAGTAAAAAGTGGTTTCCACCCTGACACAATTGTTTTCAATGTGATGTTAGATGGATATTCAAGGATGGGAAAAATGGGGAGGGCAATTGCTTGTGTTTCAATGATGAGGAGAAACAATCTGTATCCAAATTTGGCCACGTACAATATTCTCTTGCATGGGTACTCAAAGAAAAGGGAACTGGGGATGTGCTTTAGAATACACAAATTAATCACCAATAAAGGTTTTAAGCCTGACAAATGGACATGGCATTCTCTGATTCTTGGTCTTTGCAAGTCAGGTCTGCTGGAAATTGGAATTAAAGTTTTGAAAAAGATGTTTGTCGAGGGCATCATACCTGATCGACTTACGTTCAATATGCTTATAAGCAAGTGCTGTGAACGTGGTCGGATGGGAATGGCACTTGATATGGTTGATGTGATGATTATTCTTGGGTATGATGACCTTGATACTTACCAATCCATTATCGATGGTCTGCACAAGAAGTCAGATTTTAATACTTCCTACACTATTATGCATGAAATGCTGAAAAAAGGGTATGCTCCTTCTTACAAGCAATATATACGTTTAGTTAGTTGCATGTGTAAAGCAGGGAATGTACGAGCAGCATTCAAGTTAAAGGATGAGATGAAGGAACTTGGTGTTGTTCCTCCTGTTGTTGCCGAAAGTGCAATAGTTAGAGGACTTGCACACTGTGGGAAGATTGAGGAAGCAAAGTTAGTCCTTCATCACATGATTAGGATGCGTCTCATCCCTACTCCTGCTACCTTCACTACTCTGATGCATATGTCGTGTGCAAATTTTGATATTGAAGGGGCCTTGGAGTTAAGGAGTATCATGGAACACTCTGGCATAAGGCTTGATGTTGTCACCTACAATGTTCTTATTAAAGGCCTCTGTGCTGGTGGTCATGTGATTTCTGCAGTTGAGTTATACAAGGAGATGAAAAATCAGGGTCTCCTTCCAAACTGTACAACATACACAAGTCTAATAAATGCCATTTCTACCAAGGGTAGTGCAATTAATGCTGAAACACTTTTGGCTGATCTAAAAACGAGGGGTTTTTCATCTTGGGATGGAAATGCAAACCATTGGCGAGAGGATTTGGTGATTGCCATGAGAAAGATAAAATATACGAGTTGTCGGAGCAGGAAATGATACCTAATTGAAGATAATTTGACCTTGATGTTGTCAACATGGGGCGAATTTATTTAACCTGTTCTTGTGGAAGCATGGCTTCATTGTAGAGTACAAGTAAGTTTCTCTTCCAGTTATGTAAGACATGTCCCATGTTTACTTCCTGCAGATGATGGCTTGAATCTCCCTTGTTTGTTAACGCTTACTACCTCACTACTTTCAGAGAGAAGATTGTGCTCCAGCGGCTATCACAAAATGCTATCCAACTTGGCATGACAGGTAGCTAATTTCATTTTTATATCTCGATATATGTTTTCCTACCACACCAGGTCTCGACCACATTTTTCTCGAATTCCGATGACCTATATTTAGTATCATGTATCCCTGTTTTGTTTTTGACTAGACAATGTATTGACCAGTGTTGATGGGATTACTATTCTTGTGAATTGCATGTATATTGAATGCAGATCTTGTTACTCTGATGCCAATGATGCTAGGTATTTTCAGTTTCAGCTACTGTCGTCTTGCCATGACTGACGCCGACTTTGATGAAGGAACTACATCAGATACATCTCTCTCTCCAATTTCTCTCTCCGGGAATTGCGGAACCCCTAGAACACATGGACTGAGGATTCTACATCTGCATCCTATTCAATGATCAAATCGCTCATTCACACCGATTCTTTCTCTTCCCCTACTCTAGACAAATATAGACGGAACAGCCTTGGAATAGTTGGCGACTTCGGTACGACATTCTTCGTTTCCAAGGTTGGTTGATATACAAGTCGTTCAAGTATTTTTTAACATATTGTTGGTACAAGGACAGGAATCCAACAGGATGTTGCTTTTGCAATTGCAGACCGAGCAAGCATGCGTCACATGCCAATGATGCTAGCACAAAGAATCAAGCTTCTACTTTGGGCAGTTGGAGTTAGGGAGATGCCGAGGCAGAATTTGAAGTGGATTATTGTTGCGATGCCTTGACCAGAGAAATAGCCTATGAGCATGTGGGACAGTGATTATGCATCCATGTGTCAGTCACATCGATTCTCTCTCTTATCCTACTTTAGACAAATATAAAAGGAACAGCCTCGGAGTAGCTGGCGACTTCAGTACGACATTCTTCTTATCCAAGGTTGGTTGATAAACAAGTCGTTCAAGTAGTTTTTGACATGTTGTTGATACATGGACAGGATTCTAACACGATATTGCTTTTGCATCTGCAGACCGACCAAACATGCGTCGCATGCCAATGATGTTAGGACAAAGAATGAAGCTTCTACTTTGGGCAGTTGGATTTAGGGCGCCCAAGACAGACTTTGAAGTTGATTATTGTTATTATGCTTTGGCTGGAGATATAGCCTATGAGCACGTGGGACAGCAATTATGCATGCATGTGTGCAATTTTGTTTATCTGCGCACGTTCCATTGTCTTCTTCACTACGTGTGCAGGACTTGGGGAACGCTTGTGCAGTCAAATTTTGTCGTGAATAATGAGATCGCAGTGGTTAAGCATTACTTGATTTTTTTGAAGTGACATAACACGATCACCCCCTCGCTCCTTGATAAAGGTTCAAGTGTTTGCCTACTTTAGTGTCGGTCTTGTTGTAATCTTCCTCAATTGCCGACACATACAAGTAAACAAGCTGTATGGTTCCATAAATTGTTCTTCCAGCTATCATATTTTATAACTCAAATGGGTCAATCCATCATCCATTGCAAGTCTTTGTTTTACTCAAAGTGATGCTTCTGGCGAAAAGTCTACCGTGTATGCTCTTTAAACATGTCTCGTAACAATAAATTAAGTCAATTACATTCTTGTGTGATGCTTTCATTCCATTTACGGAGCTCACAATGCTAGTACATACACATTTTCTGCAAAAGCAGTATATGCTTGAACATGGGATACACATTACTGTACAAATAACATGAGATCTTTGCAATTGCAACCCAAGAGCTGAGGGGTTGGATTTACAAAACCCAGTCCTTCAGTATAGCCTCAGAGCTCGTCTTCATTAAAAGAACATTGCCACTTTGTCCTTGAGACTGCTCTTCTTTTTCAATGGGGATACAGCTTCTACGATAACAACGCTGTGGCTTTGCTTCTCTTGATCCTGCATCGGAATCACTTCATCCGCAACAAATTGACTCATTTTCTCTTCCTCTACGGGCTTCCTCAGCCAGGGACCCAGAAAGAGATCTAACATATCCTGAGCAGGATCACCTGTTCTCTTGATACCGACAACAATGTCTTCACCGGTCGGAACTCCAGCTGAATTGTTCTTAGTGTGCTTTGCATCATCAAGAATTTCATTAGGATCAGCAACGGCATCAACAGAATATTGTTGAACATTGCCTGAGGCTCTCATTGGTGTCTCTGATCTTCCAAGGTGTTGTTTTTGCTGCTCAACATCCTTATTAGATGCAATGATCTGCAAAAAGGCATTCATTCATTAACCTTCCAAATTTCATTCATTCAATTACGTGACATTTTTTGACCAAAAAAAAATACGCATTGTTTAAAATTCTTCTGTTTCATGATGTATTGCAGTTAATGCTGTTGGAATGCAGTGAGAGAGGCTGTGATTCATTGGTCCTGCGAAGGTGATCAAGATGTTTTAGCGAACCCTGAAGATGAGGAGAACTACAGCGAATTTAAATTTGAGTTTGTGCCCTCACTCGTCAAGGAGACATCACTCGAAAAGCCAACGTTGAAAGGATTGCGAGAGGCCCAGGACCCACGGATAAAGACCCTAAAGAAGAACACTGGCATTATTGAACTACCCAAGTATACAGAGCTAATTAGGCACAACACTAAAGAAGGGTCTCATCTTCTGATGGTAATAGCTTGGATGCTCTCAATTATTTTTTATGCATTAAGACACACAAAAAAGTATTGAGCCTTGAATGACTCCTTTGCAAGAAAATATGCTTGATTCTGCAGCCTGTATTCTGCATGTATGACAGTCTGGAATGCAATTCCTTGCAATAATAGCATGGAAAGAAAAAGCATGAGCAACTTCCTACAAAGTAAAAAATCCTAGACCATGGGAAAAGAGAGTTTTTCTCAGGGGAAGGAACAAAGAAAATTACCTCTTCAGCAATGCTCATAAGATCTTCAACAGTAAGTTCAACATCATCATCACTAGCAAAGGTAGCATGTTCCTCAACACCTTCAGCAACAAGACTTTTTGTTTTCCTTCTTTTTTCAAAAACTGAATCTTGAGCTTTCCTCCTTCCCCTTCTGCGCTCCTTTTTATCCTCAACAATTTCATGCGTACTGACATCAGAACCGTCTTCTTGTTCGCTCGCCCTTCTTTTCCTTCTCTTCCTTCCGCATTCCACGAGACCAAATCCACCGACTTTTGACAAATTCTTTTCCTGAAGCGAGGATGCCCTTTTAGGCTGTTTTGTCAAACTCTTTGAATTAGTCCGTTGAGGTGAAACTACCCCTTCGTTTATTTTATCAGTGTTACCGTCCTTACAACTAGACTCCCTTGCTTGGTCATTCGCAGGTGGCGCCACCATCCACCTCGGCAACCGCCTCCTAGTTCCCTCATTTGGAGCAGCTCCAGCCATCTTCACTCTTCACCGGGATAATTCTCGCAAGACTCCTATCAAGAATAAAAGGACCTCTCAATCTTATGCTTAACCCAATGGTGAACTAACTTCGCGCAAGAAAGACGCATTTCAGTTTAAAATGCCACGGCACAGCGACTAAAACCCTATGGAAAACCAATAGTTGCGACACAAAGTTGCAGGGAAGCGACATTTCTAAAAACCCGACAAACTTATAAATCATAGCAGCAAAATGGGCAGAATTGATTTCCTGAGCTGCATAAATTCTGGTCAGGAAAGACAGAGTGCCACACCCTCTATAAGAGAAGAGGAAGTGAGTTGGACTTGGTTGTCTCAAGTTACTAAAAACATCTCGAACAGGTTGGCCTCTGGGGGATATCTACAAAGCAAATCTCAAACATTTTCTTCAAGAAAATCAAAGGATTTCATGGCATCGCGGAAAATGCTTTAGATGCTCTACCGCCATCCTGCATGTATATCGGCCTCACCACGGCCAGTGAAGCTCACCGAACGATGCAGCTGGTTGCCTTCATTGAAACTCAAAGAGGGAAAAACAAGAAACGAAGAAAGGAGACGTTTTTTCCTTCCGCGGCTATCCGAAACACTGATCCCAACAGCCCAAAAGTTTAAAGAAATCAAAGAATGAAAAGCACATGGAATCGACACTATTTGAAGCCCCGGAAGGAGAAATTCAAACTCACCCAGCAACCAATCATCCGAAACCGCAAGACGATGATGAATCATCGAATCGCCTGCCAATCCAAAAACCTGAGGAGAGATCCAAACAGAGATCGACGAGCGTTGTCGGAGACGAAGAGAGGGAAATCAGTAAACATGGGATTGTTCGAAAACAATCGTCGTCATATCTCGAAGTTGCCAAGTTATGATGATGATACGAGGAAGAAGAAGGTGACTTTTTTTTTTTTTAAAGAAGAAGTATTAGAATATATATATAAGATAATCTATTTTACTCCATTCTTTTTTTTTTACTTTCTCAAAATATTGGCTATTTTACAAAGATTTTGTCAATGGCAAATTCTTAAAATAATAACTCTATTTTCTCTCATATATTTTAATTATAAAAAATTAATCATTTCTATTTTATAAACAACATGATGGATGAAATTCGATCTCTGAAATATTTTTCTCTTACCATGCACATACATATAAACAATCAAATTGCAAATTTTTCAAATGTCGATTTTTCACTTTCAAGAAACCCTCTCCGCATTTGCTAGTAGTGCATAATATAAGCATATGAATCACGAGTTGCTTTTGAAAATACTGAACTGGTCCATGAATTGAAGCGAAAAAATTTAATTTGATAGTTGGTCGAGAAAAAGTTTTTATATTCAAGACGATGGAATATAATCTCACAAAATCATGTAGGATCATTCTATCTCCAAATTTCATTGCAAAACTTTAGGTGTGAGATTGCTCATATGAATGTTGTCATATCATCTTAAGCAATAAAAAATATCAAACTTTTGCTTGTATGATCTCCTTGCATTATTAGTATTCAAAATTTCTTAAGTCAAATATCATAACACTGTCATTTTACCCTCCTTCCTATATTTTATCAATTTATAATTTGCAAAAATACATTTCCGGAACTTGTTTGCTTATATCACCTTCATTTGATGATTATCTTTCTGAATGTCGCAAGCCTGAATTTCCGCTTGTGTTTTCAACAGTTTTCCAGTTTGGATTTGCCACACCCCACTCATTAAATGGCATCACAACTGTTCCGTTCTTCAGCCATGCTACAAATCCTGACTCACTGCAGATTCTGGTATTTGCACCATACAAGCAAATCCCCCAACCATAAATTGCAGAGATTTCAGAAGGTTAAAAAATAAGAGTTCATAGATTGTCCTACCATCACATGCTTCCATCATGTCTCCCAGATGCTCCATGAGTAGATGAAGATTCTTCCTGTATTACACCATTTTCGGAAAAATCTCAGTCTGTAACATTTGTCCACCAGCATCTAATTCAGCAGAATAAGAAAACAACATTCTTTCGCTTTTACATGACATAAACAAGTTGAATGGTGAGAACCACCGATTACATCAAACATTCGATTCCACGTCATCTTCCATCTCCCGCACCGACTGAAGAGGAACACTCCCAGGAAGAAAGCTGCTGTCTAAGAGGTGGTTCGTGAGTCCGTTCCCGAATAAGCACACCTGCGGTTGGATTTGATTCAGGCGATTCCACTCGCTATCGGAAAGTGACCAATTGAAGATGTCGATGTTCTTCCTTATCCGGTCGGCATTCAAGCTACATGGCAGGACACTAGTTCCTCTTTGCAGTCCCCATCGCAAAATTACCTGAATCAGTGATTGGACGAAAGAATCGAGGTTAGATAGCGATTCAGATGAAAGTAAATGGATTAAAACCTTTCACTTCATTTGTTGAGGTGCAGTCAACACGTGTCAGTCACTCTATAGTGACAAGTCGAAAATTTAAACAATTATCTGCGAAGAACTCGAAGCAAGTGTTCATAAGCATACTGTGCACTGTTTTGACAAAATTTCTAAGTCTTGTGCAACAATAGAGATTATGACTAGCTAGTTACTTCAAATATCTGAATATCGCAATGACCTGTTAACTAAGTCATTTTTTGCTATCGATTCCATATTATCGAAAAGCAACAAGAAGCTACTAAACGTTAGACAGAAAAAACTTCGAGAACTCCTTGAGGATTAATATAACCAATATCACAAGTTTAGCATCTAACTCAGGCCAAGTCCATGTGAACGTTTTCCACACAAGAATAACTGAGCCGGGTCACGTCACTCTTAATTTAGAGAGGGACTTCTCATAAAAGTAAGGGCGACCATATATTGCAATTGGCCAGTTCCGCAAAATGTCGACAAGAAAATTTATGCAAGTCAGTAACCAAGGGAATGATGAAAGACATTGCCTAACTCTAGCACAAGTCTTTAAAACCCTTTTAGAGAAGCAAATCAATATCAGAATGCACCAAAACTTCTCAGTGAGGAATAATAACATAGGTAGTACTCATTCGATGGACAATGTCTTGGCAACAATAATAGTATTCAACCAACTTAAACATCCCCCATATAAATATGTTTCGTATTGGCTTCTGAACTACAAGCCTTGGGCTACAGGTATAAGGTTGTAGGATGTTCCACTAGTAAAAGGTAGTGGAAAACGTCTCTAGGGAGGCAGCACACAACATTCTTCTGTTTCTTATTGATTCTGCTTAATCAAAGATCACAATGTCATTATGTCTAAGTAAGGAGTAAACTGATACAGCAACAACCTTAGCTTCCAATTAATCATCCACTTCAGCACTCAGGACTTGATAGAAGATGGGAATAAAGCGAGCAAAACATTTCCTCGATGGTCAAAGGAGATTCCTTTCACAACATCAAAAATGAAGCTTATTTTCCAATCTATTAGCAAGAGAACACCAACGAAATTGCAGAAACCTAACACTAATCACACACCCAGATTCCATCTTCTACGTGGTCTGCCCTCCATTTTTCAGTTAAGAGCCTCAAGGGGTGCTCGGGCTTTTTTTTCTTACAAAGTGCTTCGTCACAAAACCATGACAATTATCTTTACTTCAGTCCATCCTGTCTCCCAAAAAACATTTAACTTTCCGCACTAAATGAAATGTTAGAATCTCAAACTGCATATGATACAATGCCCCACTTAATGTCCACAGGATTAAAAGTTTTAGTTAAATAAACAACGGGGGAAGAACAGCATAAGTGCCAAAAGTTATGTACGGAGCTCACTTTGGTGCCAAAAGTTCCATTTGGATCACTTAAGTGCCAAATCGGAGGAAAAATGATCACTTTGGTGCCAAAAGTTCCATTTGGATCACTTAAGTGCCAAATCGGAGAAAAAATGATCACTTTGGTGCTAACGGCGAGAGATTCCGACCAAATTAATACATGGCATTTATAATTAAATTTTTAATCTTAGTTGGATTTTTTTAAAAAAAAATTAGTCTACGTGGCATTTCCACGTATATATTTCGATTTTTTAAATACTTTTCTTTTTTTTTCTTTTTTTTTTTCTTTTCTTTTTTTCTTTTCTTTCTTCTCCCTTTGGTCACCGCCGGTGACCGGAGGCCGGCCACCGGCCGCCTGGCCTCGTCCGGACAAGGCCCGGCCGACCCTCGCCCGGGCGAGGCGGGCAAGCCCCGACGAGGTCGGCCTCGCCTCGCATGGGTGAGGGCGAGCCCCGACGAGGGCTCCCCTCGCCAGATCCGGCGAGGCCGGCCTTCGCCCAGGCCATAGCGGCCCCGCCGGCGCGTCGCCTGGGGGCTTGCCCGCCGTCGCCCAGGTGAGGGGTCGGCCGGGCCTCGCCTGTGGCGGGCGGCGGCAGCCTCGTCCGGGCGAGGCCAGGCGGCCGGTGGCTGGCCTCCGGTCACCGGCGGTGACCAAAGGGAGAAGAAAAAAAAGAAAAAAAGAAAAGAAGGAAAAAAGAAAGAAAAGAAAAAAAAAGGAAAAAAGAAAAAAATTATTTAAAATAAAAAATGCTGACTGTACGTGCTGACTGTATCTCCGGCGAGCCACATCGGCTTCAGAAATTAATAAAAAAATGCCACGTCGGATTTCCAGCCAAACTGACCGGAGTTGGCACTTAAGTGATCGTTTTTCAAAAATTTTGGCACTTAAATGATCCAAATGAAACTTTTGGTACCAAAATGAGCTCCGTACACAACTTTTGGCACTTCTGCTGTTCTTCCTCCAATAAACAACTAAGGAGGAGATAGTAGCCAAAATCTTTTCAGGTTAGATCTGGGTAAAAAGGTTTGACCAAAATGACGAGGTTAGAGTAAGAAATAGTTGATGGGTATCAGAAGTAAATTGAAGGCCACAGAAAGCTGCCCACCGTGAAAAGGTAAGTTGACCCAAATTATGCATTGAGCAAATGGTTTAACTACAGTGCAGCCAAGCAAACAGGATGATTTACATGATCTAATCATAGAATAAAAATAAAGAACAAAGAAAGAGTACATAAGAAAAACCTGCTCGGGAGTCTTTTTGTGTCTATTTGCTATTTCTGCTACAACAGACAGCTTGAGCATAGGCCCATGTACCGATCTTGACCTCCTAAAACATATGCGGGGAGTTCCAGGTTCATCTTCCCCGCCTGATCCGCTATCTGATGGTGCAGGACTTGAACTAGGTACACCAAGAGGTGTGTGAGCAGACACATGGATGCCTTTTAACTGACAAAATTTTACAAGTTCATCTTGCCTCCAGAATGGATGCAGCTCCATCTAACAAAACGCAATCTTACATCAGAACAAACTTCATTATCATGGCTACTATGACTGATGCATAGCCAAATAACATTCAATGTTTCAAATGAATACAGAAAATACATATCATATTTATGTGTTAGACATGAGTGAAAACGTAAAACAAGGCACAGGTGGATAAATAACCACATCTTAGATACAGAATTTTGTTCAACCCATATTTCTGTCTTTTAAATTATTTCCAAGAAATTATTCATAAAACTTCAGATTTGTCGGCAATGGTTTCTGGAATTAATTTTCAGTTTTGAAAAGCATGAAGGGAGAACTTATTTTTGTTAGATTGAGAAATGATTCACCAAATTCAACTCTGGAATTATTCTCCTGGGAAACATCAATTTAAACTTTTAGCTTTTGTGAACTCATTCATGCATTAAAGTCGGTAAAGCCCGCGGTAGAGTGGTGTATGGAATAGAATAACCATTCTAACTCGTGAAGGGACTAAACAATTTTTCACTTAAAATCCATTTTGAGACCACGATTTGAAACCACAAGTCAGTCAGGTTTTTGCCTCAAATCAAGCCGCAAGAGATCTCTTAGAACAATCTTGAGAGAACGATGCCAATCGACCACACTGTTTTTGTTCATAGCCATAAATACCCGCTAAATCAGCTCTTTAAAAGATATACAGTTCTAAGTCCATGCCAAGGGGCCTCCCAAATTCCACTTTAAAAGATATACAGTTCTAAGTCCATGCCAAGGGGCCTTAGAACTGTATATTTTGTTCATGGCCTCAAAGTGGAATTTGGGAGGCTTGAGGATACAGAAAGCTGCGTCCTCTGTCCAGGCCCAGTTATTAAACTCAAAGATAAGTACACTTTAGTGCCCTATGGCAGTGATTAGATGTAAACTTGGCAGTTAATGCGCTAGAGGAAATAAAAAATTGAAGAAGACTTTTGAGGACATTGAATCTAAAAGAAATGAGGCCAGCCATCAGTAAGAGCAGAAATCAGAGATCGCAGCAATCTTGCCAACATTCTGAGGCTTCTATGGGACAAGGACTGCCAGGATGCCTACCATCAAACAGGCTACCAAACAGAAAGTTGCCACCTTGTTGTCTGTAGTCTCATTTTAACTCATACAGAGCACCACTTGAAATAAAGAAAATTCACCAAACTTGACACCAAACATGTCCTTAGATGCTAAATACATCTACGACTCTAGATCATTCGACTTGGCGCAGAATATGTACCCCCTATACAAGTGCGGTTTTTGTACAAAACCATGATGTATTTCCCAACATTCAAAACTTTGCAGAAGACTAAATGAGTACTTAAAGTGACAAGAGCTTGAAACAGTATATATCATGCAAATGGACAACTTATAGCATGATGTGAAGAATAGAAATGAATTTGACATATTCTTTCATCCTACGACTGCCAAATAATGCCGTATGTCTATGTAGTTTCAATGGCTTTTAAGCCCATGCTATCATAAACCATCCCAATTGGTAGTATATTGTCCGTGACACCTTGACAATGATCATGGACCTTCTATGCATCATAGTTCTGTTTTTGCGCATCATCAGATAAATTTGCGGATAACATGAAATCTTAGCGGACTGCATCACACCACAAAGAATTATTTTGTGAAGCAAGATCACTACAAGTTATGCACAATAAGTCTTCAAAGATATGAGATCAAGGAGGCCAACCTGATTGACTGCAGGAACTATTTTGGCAAACTTGAGCAGTTCTTTGATCTGTTGAACGTTAAAGTTGCTGATACCGATGGCCCTAACAAGACCTAACTCAACCAGACCTTCCATGGCTTTCCACGATTTCTTCAACCTACTGAGAAACTGCTTATACTCACTTCCCAACTTCTGAGGCGGATCGGTTGCATCACCGAATGCTGAGATTTCTGGCCAGTGCATAAGATATAGATCTAAGTACGAAACTCCTAAATTCTTGAGAGACACTCTAACATAATTCTCAATCTTATTGATGGAATTCATGCTACAGTAGAGCTTGGAGGTCAAGAAAAGATCCTCTCTCTTCAGTGATGAGCTTTTAAAAGCTTCAGCCAACGCATCTCCAACTTCAATCTCATTACCATAAAGATGAGCGCAATCGATGTGCCGGTACCCCACCGACAATGCCGTCTTTACGGCCTCGATGCAAAGATCACCGCCACTCTGCCATGTACCCAATCCAATCGCCGGAATTTTCGCTCCGGTGTTCAACACGAACGAGCGCGCCATCAAATCGCTTTTCCCTTTCATACCTCAAAGCTTTCAGATAGAAACACAAAAAAAAAAAAAAGACAGATTCCGAAACTCCGAATATCCCCCAGAACCAGATATATCACATCGACCGACAAAATCAAAACACGCAAACTAAGATCGCGTATGAAACCAAAGGGCGATACGATAGAAGACGAGATCTTTCCGGCAGTAACTCGCAACCAGGAAGAGGGAAATGACCCCCCCAATTCAAGAGAAGATAAAGATGCGCCGGTCAGCGACAGGAAAGACGCCGCAGTGAAATGAATTTCACCAACGAAAGCGAACCAACCCACCACCTGTTTGACTTTTTAACCGAAACAAGAACGAATGAGGGGCAGCCGCTTCGACAGAGGGAAGAGAACAACCCACGATGCAGATTTTATATTGAGCACCGAACAGCAAGACGAATCGGGTTTCCCTTGAAACTACCAAAAAAAAACACCAAGAACTTGCCAAGTTGCTTCCGTTTACGTTTGCACACGTACGTAAATGGGAAGACCGTAACATGAAAGGAGACTCTGGGTCAACACAACACAACAACGAAGAGGGGAAGGAAATAGGAATCAACCCCAGACCTTAAAAACGGGTGCGTAGCTGTAAAAAGAAGCCCCCTCGCCCCTCGTTTCTTTCCTTCCCTTCCTTTCCTTTCTATCTTCGCGAACAGAGAGGATCGACGAAGAAGAGGACAGAGATCTCTTTTTTAATATGTTTTTAACGTTTCAAGTGGGGATCAAAATCATGGGCGAGACGATGGAACAAGAAGGACAAGACCCCCCAAAAAAATTAATGATTTTTTCCCTCTCTTTTGTCAATCTCATACACCTAACAGGTGAGGAAAGACTGCGAAAAATCCACAACCACCACCTACCCAACTTGCAACTACGTCCATTGACGATCTCTCCCTCCCCGTTGGATGGTTCCGCTGACAATTTGAGATTGGAACAGTGGGACTTAGCTGCCTCCTCTCCGGAGGAGGAGATGGACAAGGAAGACACGCAGTTGAAAAACGAGGATGTCAGATGGGCCAAAGAACACAAACGGAGAAACGACGGACGAGAAAAAAGAGGGACGGAGGACTGCAAAAAAAGACAGGACTCTGCTTTCGTAACGTGTGTTGATGCTTTTAATTTATTTTTTTAGTCAAGTCCTTTTTTTATTTTTTTATGACCTTTTTTTTTAAAAGTAGATCCTTCCGATATCAAGTCCGGCTAAATCCAAGTAACGTGGCCTTCGACCGTGACATCGTGGGTGAATTTTGACATCCACGGGGGCGGGGCGTCCATATTGGCTTCATTACATGCATATCAGATTCCGATGCATTATTTATATTTACTAAACTTTTTGACGATGGCGTTTGCGTCGGCATCCACATTTGCTACATATTATGCGCATCACGTTTCAAACCTATCTATGCCCGCTTTAGTTGGATCTACTGCCAGAGGGACTTGATTAGAAAAATTGAAAAAAATTATTTAGAGAAATTAAAAATACAAGGGCTTGATTAATAAAAAAGGTGAAAGTAAATAGATGAAAAGTAGTATTTTTCCATTATAAAAAGAAAAGCGTGTTTCTAATAAAAACACACGGCACCAAAAATTTGCATAAATATATATGGTGTTGGAAACAGATTCCTAAACAAAATGCGGAAAAACGGAAACAAATTCCTAAACGACGAAATTCTCAAACTAACGAGTAACACTATAAACATATGCGGAAACATACCCAGTTGAAACTTGAATCACCGATCGTTTAAAAGTACATCATCAAGAAGGACGTACCTTGTTTTCCACGGATTAAATGCTCCGATTGCAATCCAAGAGAGTACAATTCTTCAATCGTCGAGTGAGAGCCCTATTTCTTTTTGAGTGAGAGGTTTTTTTTCTTTGTTGTGAGAATGAATGTCAAATTTTCAGAACGTACTTCACCTTCTACCTCATTCTTTTGTTCTTGTTGCAGTTTTCACAAATAACTGCCTCGACGGTTATCTCTCTCCCATGGGCTCTTTCATGTCTAATGGACTGGGTTAGCCCAACATGGGCGGCCCAAAATTATAAAACCCATCATATGGAAAGGGAGAAATATTTCAAGATTTCAAATCTTTTTATGGAGAAAATGTTTGTAAAATATATATTGAAGGATGTTTTGAGGCTAAATAAAATGATTGGGGTGCCTTAAAAGTATTAGGTTCTATTTACTTAACATAATAGTATAGATTAAGATCCATTCAAGTGGCAGTTTTAATGATCCATCATCATTTTATAAAATTGATCGAACTAGTGGTATATCATATTATAGATGAAAAGATGGATATTAGATCTTTGCAATTCCATTGCACTAGATCGAACTTATTTTACTCAAAATAAGCGGCGTCTAGGGTTGGGAGATTTTCTTTTTCTTTTTTGATATTAATGGCATGTTCGAAGCTATTTGAACACCCGAATAATCCCAGCGGGTGTGAAAGTTCTCCTCCTTAATTGAAGATACTTTCTTTTCCAAGTGTAGTTGTATTCTCATGAAATTATTTGTCGAAAATCACTTCATTTGCTTCATCATGTATTAATATAATCATATCTGAACTTGACATTTCGAGAAGGGGGTAAAGCACCATGAATCAATCTCCACACTACATAGTAAACATTTGGATGACAATTTTAGGCAAACACCAGTTAGGTATAAGTACCTCCAATATGAATATAAGGAAGTGACTCCACAAATACTTTGACAAAAAGAAAAGATGGACTCTTAATTGTAGTGTTAGTCAACAATATCCGCAGGAGAAATTTTCAGAATGGTAGCATTATCTTTACATGAAATTAATGGGTTTTGAGCAAGAATAGCTTTACAATCACCACATTAAGCAACTAATCGACCGACAAAAAATGTATGCCCTAAAGTTACTATGTAATAGTTACATGTTATGGATTTAAGTTGTACTATCAATTTCATTATTTACTTAATGGCAATGACGTATTCATTCATTTGTCCAATTATTTAAATATATGAATGATTCCATAAGATCAGTTGTGACTGGACCTATTCTTGAGACGTTAAGAATATGTGTGACAGGTTCACAGTTAGACTGAATCTTTAAATTGTTCCTGATCGATGGATCATTGAGTGGATATTAATGATCCTGTTGAGATCGGTGTGTTCTTAGCTTCACCATTAAGTATTGGATACTTAAGGGAATGACGAGTCATGAGTCATTGGGTATTGCGATGCCCAAGTTAGAACACAAGTACTTGTACCAGACAAGTTCACTGAACATGACACGCATAGAACGATTAGCAACATGAAAGCTTTTAGCGTGGTCAATGTATAATCGTTGATGCTCCGGTCTTGTGTAAATAACCCTTAGACCTGAGGTACAGTGTTGACTTATATGTTAGATGGTTATAGTTCACAGGTGCGCATATTGCCGGTTCGTTGATCCGTCTCTGTACTTGATGGCCATAGTTCGTTCACATATGAAGCTACACATGTGCGCAAAATGGAATCTGTCTCCTTGTTATATGCAAGGTTCAATAATGATGTCCTATGCAATCTAATCTTGACACTGCATTTAAATCCTCGACCGAAATTGTAACCGTGAATGAACTGTTCAAGTCTCATATAAAATGCATGTCAATTAGGTTTGTGCATATGATCGAATTGGTGGCTTGACAAATATTCCATGGTCTTTGTTCAATCGGGACATAGTAAAACAAAGGGATTGAATTACATTGTAGCCAAAGCTGACAGGTTCATTATGTTCTTAAAGCATCCACACTGTCTGGGTAGCCGTGACATATTGCTAGATGTCAATCATAGCTTGTAGGACCTAGATGTTGATCGGGACAATCAATTCTCTTGGGAGTACTAATGTATTAGTGCAAGTCCTCCTACCAGCTCAGTGATAAACCTAGGAATGTCACACACCATAACCAATTTAGAATGGCGTTGTATGGAAGAGACGATATTGCAAATATGTTTGCAATCGAATTGAGTCGGACTGAAATTAAATTAAATGTGATTTAATTTTAGTTTATTTTTAATCATGAGCGTACGTGCATATGATGCACACGCAATTCTAAAGTGGATACATGTTAATGTGCCAAATGATCTTGCACTCTTAGTTTTATAGAATTAAATTAATTAAAAGTGCACAAGGTCAACATTTGCAGCACACGATCAATAATGGTGATTATCGTGTGTGTTTTAATTAATATTAATTAATGGTGCATGCACACGGTCAGCACACGGTCAGCAATAGTTGCTGACCGTGTGCATCACCCACGACCAGCAACGGTTGCTGGTCGTGTGCCAAATGCACACACGATCAGCAACGGTTGCTGATAGTGTGAAGTGTGCCCCCGATCAGTAACCGTTGCTGACTGTGGGCATCACCCATGACCAGCAACGGTTGCTTGTCGTGTGCTAAATGCACATGCGATCAGTAACTGTTGCTGATCGCACAAATAAAGTGGGATCAGCAACAGTTGCTGAAGAGTGAGCAGAAAGAGTGCAAGTGAGAAGTGCAATATGTGTACTACGCCGTGACTGAAATATCGAAAGTGTGGAAAATTGTTGCCAAGAGATTGCTAGCATAATTATAGTGGTGATTATCTGCAAGTTCTTTCTTTCGTTCGTCGTGCGATTGGTGGTGTTTCTTAACTAAAGGTCCAACGGTTATGAGGCTCGAACTGAAGAATATCCGAACCAAAATCGTATTGGGCAAGCTACGAGAGGTTATCCGTTTAACCCCCTGTGATCTTCCGATTATTTATTGAAACGCACAAACAACGCCTTTGGAGATACATGAATTGTTATATCTTTTCGCTGCGTTTATATTTAATTTAATTATGCATATTCCGTCGAAAGCCAACACAGTTACCATGTATACTCTATAGGAAACTATTCTTTTGGGCTCTGTTTCCGGTTTAATTATCCATCAAAGTTACCATGTTGAGTTTCAATCAACTTAAACGACAGAAGAGGAAAAACCAGATCAAGACAAAAAGTGAACAGATGTTGCCTTTTATTGCCATGGACACCAAGAACATAGCACAACCCGTGAAATAAAACTTAATAAGGAAATCGATTGGAAAGGTAAATCCACACTAGAAGCCTAATTTGTCTCTTCCAAGACCTTTCCATGCTGATGCTCCCATCAAGGCCTATTCACCACTTGAGCTTCTCAGGGAAATACTGCAAATCAAAACTCCCATGTTGAGATCTAACAAATAACATGGACACTCTGGTGCTTGAAGAACTAAGGAATCAAGGGATACTTGCCTTCTTGATTAAGGAGAGGTAGTATGGCTTGACCTTCTCGACGTCAATCCGAACCTTGCTCTTGCTGTAGAGGTCGTATTTGCTGCGAGGTGATGATTAAATCAACAAACCCATATTGTAGGAAGCACGAAACTACTTATGTTTGCGTTATCGGATTGCTTCCTTACTTGAATATCTTGAGCCACTTCAGATTCTCGACGTCTTCTTCGTTCATCAGGTGCTCATATGCTCCGGCTCTGTGTAAAGCTGATAAAATATCAACAGGTTCGAAAAGTATCAGAAATCGAGTCCAGGGTTCTTTATTCTAAAATTTGAGGAGCAAGAAAGAGAATGCTGTGTCTCACCGTAGAACGAGTGGTATCTGATTATGAAAAGGCCTGCTGAAGGCAGAGTACTCTTGTTCTCCTTAGCCACCTATACACCGAGATGATACATAAGGTCAGAACCCTAGAAAGTTACACTGAGACAAATATACTCTAATTCGCTAAGCTTATTTATGTAAAGTCCCAGATATACTACCAAGTACATATAGTCATCATGCCCCCACGACATCATCACATTATTGAGTCCACAGCCCTCTGAATATACTCCGTATTTGGTGTTATAGGCGGGATTGTAGTAGTCAGGGTTCTCCTTGAAATACTGCGAGCAAAAGCTTATTTCGTATTAATATCTTTGGAGGTACTTGGATCAGACTACTATTTTTTTTTTTCGATCAGACTAGTATTGCCACATATCACATGAGTATCTAAATACCTTGTGATGGACAACTGATTCATCGAAAGCGCACCCGACAGGGAATGTATCGCCTAAAATGATATGTTCGATGAGTTAAGAATTCAAAATCAAGGGCATGTCCGAAGCTCCAATAATCAGTATGAGCAAAAACCCTTTCACGAATATTCAATATAATATTACCTACAACAGCCCATTGAGAAAGAGCTCCGAAGCTAGGATGAAGAAGTACCTTGCCAAGATCTAAAACAAGAATTGCATTTATCTCAGGTTACTATAGATATACGTTTGCGAACCAAAAACATCAGCATATTCAAAGTTAGAATCAACCAGATTCTGGAGTCCCTGTACTCGATAAGATAACATACCATGAATGAGGCCAGTCAGGTGAAGCCAATCCTCGTTGGGATAATCCTTCCTGATGGCTTCAGCTGTCTGCAGCAGATGCTCAATTTGAGGTTCGTCCAAGTCCGGGTCGCTCTCGTCGACAAACTCATTGAGAAGTTCACAACATTCCCATATGCTCATCTCCACCCTGGTCAGTTTTCCATACTCTTCTCTCATCCTCTTGACCTGAAACGACCATGAGGCCACATTAGACTTAATTTGTGAAGTCGGATGACAGAGACAAAATTTTCTTCCGGAAATAGTTTTGACTGCTTGCTTACAAAGTCATACGTTTGGTTGATATGATTGGTCCTGTAGAACTGCTCCACGCTCGTCTGCCGCTCACTTTCTGCATTGTAGTCCCTGTGTCACATTTCAAAGATCGATTAGCACGCTCATTCACCGGTCACTAAAAGGGGATGCATGCAAAAAAAGAAGTGTCAATAAATGGAATCGGTCCTCGAATGATGTCATTATGAATTGATTCAACACTCATAGGCCATCCTGTTCAGTCCATTAAGCCAAACTATACTCGTCTCCATCAATTGCATAAGCCTACCACATTTCTTTTTTTAGCCAAAGAGCCTACCACATTTACTCCTCTAATTTCCCCACGAAATGTACGATGGATGCAAAACACATAAAACCCTGAGGTTCTTTTTATGTTAGTTACCATTCCCTAGCTCCTCACACTATATCCAAATCCCATGACCAATACCCATTTTTGCTCTGCCATACGAGAACCATAGGAGACATTCTATATGCTTATGTTTAAAATGAACTATCAATAAAGCAAAGAAGAAGAAGAAGAAGAGGAATACCTGAAAGTTTGGCCGAATGAATTAGTCTCAGGCACCACAAACCCACCATCCAACACCAACTCATTCTCTTCCACATCAACCTTGTTCTCCACAACCTCCAATTCTGCAGAAAAGAAAGAGAGAAGCAGAGAAAATGAAGTCAACACCACGAACTAACTCAACGAGCACATCAACACCACTCTCTCGTCCACTGCCTAATTACTTTCTCCAAAGCACTAAAACCGTCTAAAGTGAATCAAGATGCGATTCTTTCTGCCCCACACAATCACTCGAGAAAGAATTACCGAGCTCAGGCTGCTCAACGATGACCGTCATCCTCAATCGAACTCGAACCAAACGAAGTCAAGAACCGGGCCAAGAACAAGAACAAGAACAAGAACACGAACACGAACACGAACACGAACACGAGAGAAGGGACAGATTTGAGCTTGAATTGCTCGCATTTTGGAGGAGGCGAGGAGGGGCTCCATTTATAAGTGGCCGGAAAGTCCTGGCCTGAGAATTCCCAGTGTCGGAGTCCTTGCCATGAAAAAAATTCTTCTCGCTCGGGGAGTCCTTCCGTGAAAATCACTCCAAAAAAACATACCCAACTTGACGATATCCCTCGCCTCGCGACGTCCTGAGTTGCAACTCCTTTCTCTCGGCTTGGAAGTCCGAATCAAGAATCTCGATCTTTTGCCAAAGAGAGACAGATCAATGATTGAGTAGCTGTCGTCCAAAACCAAGCTTTTCTTGTCCTTTCTTCTTGTCCTTCTGCTTCTTCTGGCTACAAGTCCCATCTCAGCCGTTAGCGCGCGCGCGGGACCTCGTCCGGGGCCCACCGATCCAACGGTCGAGGGGAAACGAGCGCCGCGAGATCCGGATGCACGCGAAGATATTTCCTCCGGGGGCCCCTTGGTTCCTCAGCGCTGAGTCGGATTGTCAGGTCAGGTTGGATTCGACGGTCGGAGATGGAAGCTCGGGACGGCGCGGGGCCCACGTGACGTGGAATCCATTCACGCGGGATGATGACCCGTGGGCCCCCCCACGCTCACGGCCAAGGTTGTCGTTTTGCGAGTTCTCTTGTTTTTTTCCGGAGCTGTTCGAGGGTTTTTCGGTTTTTACTTGGGAAGCGACTGTTGTTTCTTGTTTCCGGTTTTTTGGGGATTGGCCTTGTGATCTCATCCTTAATCTTATCTAATCACCCGTGGAGTCGCATAATTGAGCTTATCCAAATTTTTGATCGAGACTTAAAGATCTAATAAATCGCGGGATTTGTGCCGATCGAGACTTCAGCGCACAATGACTAGTCCACCTCCTTAAATGATCTCAAAAGGCGTAATTTTCAATATGGGGCTGTCCATTCCGAATTTTATCCCTGAATTGTCAGAAAGAAAATCCAAACGAGGAAAGTCCCAATCTAAGTATTTAGTCCGCTGGCTTCGGAAATTTTTATTTTCGATTTTTCGGTCGAGGACTACGGGCTGAACTGGATCGGAATAGATCTTCAATATGAATTATGGGCTTTGTAATGAAAATTTGTATGAATTGAGAGAGGGGTCCGATGCTATATAAAATCGGCGTAAAGACAATTCATCATAGGTCATATTAGCAGTGTAATTATTTTCCAGAAACTAGCTGCAAATATTTTTCTTTTTCTTTTGACCGAGAAGGCCAACTTCATATGATTAGACCCTAGGTCATCATTTGCAGAATTCATACAGAATTTTTTTTGGGATAATTTTGTGAGTACATGCTAACATATCCGAATCTCCATTTCAAGCGAAAAAATACCAAGAAAATGCCAAAAAGGAAAAGGTGGTGTTTATTTGGGAAATTGCAGATGATAGTTTCCTATTGTCCACATGGATGCCTATAATTCACTTGCCTAATTTTACTACCTCGGACATAGTAACGCCAACTAGGCCAAGGAAAAAGAGAATGAATATATTTGTTCTTTTCTTGAATAAGTAAAAGCTTCCTTTTCGGGGGGGAAAAAAGATAAAATTTGAAGGGGGGCAATGCTTATTCTTGGCAAGCCTCGAGAGAGCACGTTCTACTTCGAGACATTCCTCACGTGTCAAATTTTCAATGTTCGCGGACAGTCCACGCACGATGGGCTCGCTCGGAAGGCATGGGCCATATAGGTATGGGCCTGGCCCAAAAGGCTTTTTCCCAAGCCATGAATGCATTAATGAAGTCTCCGCAAATTGCAATTCAATCCTCGTTTTCCCCAAAGTTGACTTTAGGGCACACAAGCTTTTTGAGGAATTTGAGGATGGCAAAATTCTCCCCGGGTCCGACCCCAATCAAGGATTAAGGATTAAGTTGTTTCGCCGAAAATGGATGGTTTGAAAAACGTTTTCCTAAAAATAATTACTTATATCGCTTGAAATAATTAATCGATGAAAATTATTTTCATTATCAATAACAATTTATGTCTGAACATTTTCGTGGACAATGAAAATATTTTCGTTCATTTATTTTTTTAAGTAATACAAGTAATTGTTTATAGGAAAATTGTTTTTCGAATCATTCATTTTCCGTGAAACAAACACACCCTAAGTATATATTGATCGGGTAATCTCCAAGTCCACAGGTAATTAGCGACTTTTCGAGAGTTAATTTGATGCTAATAACCTTCAATGGCGTTCTTAACTTCGCTAAAATCTTTTGATAGATCAGTTAAACGAGGGAGAGCCAACTTTCTACAGATGGAAAGGAAGAAGTAAAACCTACCATTCAAATGCCTGGCATGGCGTTCCCTCCCATGACAGGCAGGTGACGATGGCCATCAAATAGTCAAACCCTGCACGATGAAGATTTCATACCCTTTTCCATTTGTTGCATCTCAGAACTTCTCTGTTCACCTTCTTCATCTTCTCTTCTTCTTCTTCTTCTCCTTCTCTCACAGCTTCAGAGTTGGGAGAGAAACATTGCCAAAACAGAGGCCGAAGATGCAAAGAAGCTCGGGTCTAGCTCCATGCGTCGGCACCAAATCCGGGTCGCAAGGATTGCAGGTACGTTTCCAGGCCTCGAACCATTTACACTACTTAATCTGTTGCTCAGTTCCATGTGCGAACACATTTCTCAATATGCTTTGTGTGGCCAAATTCACGTAGAAGTCCCCATTTACATGGGATCTGTCAAACGCTGAAGCATCGATACACTCTCCAGCAAAACTAAATCGTGGATTTCGTCAAGAAACCCCGAGAAATGTAACGAGCAGAATTAAGATGCTCCGTTGCGAAGCTCCCATGTCAAAGTCCGCCAACATCTTTAAATTACATTTGGGAAAAAGAATCTGATGCTTGTAGTCTTTCAGGACAACACAGTACAAACTGAACCCCAATATAAATTGCACTCAAAAACATTTATCCTAAAGATACAAGGAAACCTCAACCTGTGTCTTTCTTTATGTTTTTCCCTTCTTCAAATAATAATCTTAACTTCTACAAATTATTACAGATACTTCTCACATCACTGAACAAGAGAATCGATCGTATGATCCATGACACCAGATCATAGCATCTAGAGACAGCACAAACTGAAATCCTGGGTTTTCTTCAGACCTCGAATCAACTTAGAGACTGAACAACTTCATGACCAGCTAGAATTTTTATTCATCCCAGAGCACATAACGATTTCACCTTCCATCTCCTCTTATAAAATAGGCTAAGCTTTTAAGGCCAACACATCTGTCGCCGCATCCATCAGCGGATAGGGTGGTATTGCGTTATCCCACGTTTTGGTGGCAACTTTCTTAGTATGAATAGAACCAAAGAAGAAGGCAGAATCTCCACCAACTGCACAGGGAAAAGGATTAAACATGTTAATTGAAAGCAACATATACAAGTTTGATAAGAAGGGAATAAAACATTTGGGACACAGGTGAGATACAAGTATTCATAGATTGAAAGCACCGCATATTAGCATTGTGGATCATAACAAAATTGCCATTTAGCATCAAATCCAGACTATACAAATATAGCCCACAAGCATATTTATCAATAGTTGCAACAAATTTCTAATGTGTGCTCATTATTCACGACACCACACTCCCCAGGGAAAGTCGCTAAATACTTCAGAACTTATATCCTGAGTCCATGACAGATATAGTCGTAGTAAGATGATCTGACATAGAAAGATCGAGGGTTTCAATAATTGGATTCACTGAAATTGTGGTCTACACTCGATAGGAAATCGAGATGCTGAACAACTACTTCAATGACATAGATCGAATTCCCCCATGAAGCTTCAATAGGATTAGCATTTTCAATTTCTTTATTTGGAAAGACTGCATGTTCATCTTGATTAGAAGAAAGCTTTGAGGCATCACGCATGGGAAGGGAACAGGTTAAAAGAGGTAGGGAAAAACCTAGAAAGGACATGGGAGGCAACAATAAGGACATTAAACAATTGGATCTTTAACAAAAAAATATGACAGAATTGAGCGTGATGATATAAGGAGATTCACATGGCCTACCGCACTTGGTGTAATACGGCTTAATTTGTTATTATCATGAAGCAAAAGTTTGATCAATCACTGCTTCAATAGATTGCTTCGAAGGTGAACTAGGCTTCTCTACCTTCCCAATTGTCTAAACAACATTATTAATCACTCTGAATCTTTTATGATCTCATGTTCCTTAATCAAAGCTTCAAATGGATATTTTACTTTACCGCTGTTTCAAACTCACTATTGGTAAAGAGTATGTCTACGGTCCTTTTTTTGGAAAATTAATGTACTGGATTGTTTACTTGCACATGACCGGCTTCAGGGACTATAAAACTGAAAAAAGAAAAAACCTCGATAATGTTCTAATTGCTCGAGTTTCATGGATAGATAAAGGCGTACTTATTTGGGAATCACAGGTAAAGTATCGCAAGGAATTTTACACTGCATATCTTGATCACTATGGACTATCAGAAAAATGATTGCCTAAAACCGACTAAACTAATATGAAACGGCACATCACTCATAAAGTTAGGAAATAACTCCAGCCACTAGCAGGCTTTGAAGAGAATAACTGATTTCAAAAACACACTCATTTGATCAGAAAACAATCTGAATAGCTATTGATTTTTCTTGTTTGTGTAAAACAAGTCGATGTGTGCGTTGCCATGTACATGTCTAAATATAGTTATCTGCTTTTGCAGCGACTAATCTGAAGATATGGATCAACACAACCACCTATCTTCAAGAAATTTTAATAATCATCAGCTAGGTGCTCTGGTGGTTGCATCAAGGCATTTCGGAGGTGTCAAATACAAGTCGAAAGCTCCAAGGTAGATGCTCAAAATTGGGAATAGAATTATACAGGCTTATAATATCAGTCTGAAAAAGATTATACGTCATCTTTTCTAGGGCAATGAATTTGAAATTTCGCAGGACAAAAAGTTTCTTCAGACTAACTGTTAGTTTTCCCTAAAAATTGTTCACCTATATTACATAATCGACACAATTTGAGACCTCCCCGAGTTTCTTTTCTCCAAGGAACTAAAAAACGCTCACAATTTAAATAGCTGTTAGAAAAGGCCGAGTATCATATATGCACAGAGTTAGTATTTAAAGCATAGTTTCCATTCGAAGATTGAAAAGTTTTGTTTGGCATTCCAACTTTAAAATGATAAAAACTAATAATCTACAACAAACGACTCCAGGAGAAAACATATATACAATATAAACACTGTTGCAATCACTTTGTGAGAGAAGAGAGCAACAAATAGAATTGTATACTTACAAGGTAATAGATGAAATTCAGAATTGGATGATCTAACACATCCAAGTCCGCTGCTTCATCAAATGCATCAAAACACATCTGCAGTGTTGAGTAATAAAGTAAACATGACATAGTGTCTCTCTGCAGCAGGTCTTCGTAGATTAATTGGCAAGAGAAAACATAAAACAAAGACATGTATTCCCTGACTATGAAGAAAACTGGGCGAGACATCTGATACACAACTATTTTTTGTTTAAGCTCAACTTAATGAGTCAAGTTCCTATAGGTTAAAGGTCCTTTTACCATACTCACCATGATACATCTGACTAGAAAGCACAGGAAACATATGGTGGTTACATAACCAACCTACAATAAAGAACATAAGCAGTTAAAGAATGTAAAACGAGTAAGCAATTGGCCTCTGAACATATGCATATGCACTTTAGTTATCTGAAGAATACCTCCTGCAGTTTCTTACGACGTCCTTTTGACTCAACAGGAAACCGCTGCAGCATCAAGAAGAGCCTGCAAAAGATGACATGGAAGCATTGACGTAACTGGCAAAGCTACAGAGATTCATGGAATCATCAACTTACAAACAATGCACAAGAATACAAATACTAACACAAAGTTACAGTGCGACAGCAAATGGTGTCACATCTGAAGGTATTCATTTTTGGACATTCTCTGGGGTTTCATAAAAACACTAACTCATCAATTGCAAAAATCATTGCCACTTAGTACGATAGCAAAAAGCCCGATAGCTGAATTTATTGGCAAAAATGTTCTCCAGGGTGTCATAAGAAGGCTAACTCAGCTACTGAACCCACACTGACTACCTATTTGCTGTGCTTTCAACAATTGCATAACCTTCCTAACGTACTTTTTTTTTTTTTTTTTATTGGACCTTCCTAACATACTTGAGCGAGTAGTTTCTAGTAGACTAGGAATTGGGAATCCTAGAAGCCAGAGTTGGATGGCCGCTGGTATTCCTTTGAAGCTAGCTAGTCCAAAGGAGTCGAGCAAAGAGTCTTTAATGAAAGAAAATGCGCAAGTAAGAGAGGGATTCAACCAGTGCTTCTTCGCTGGAGCAAGATTGCTAAAGCCCAACTGGCTAGAACAAAACCTCCAGCAGAGCAATAGGAAGGGTCAAGGAAAAGAAGGGAATGGTGACAGAATTAACTCGACTAACAGCCACTTGACAGTCAGATTCCACCTCTCAAATCCCTCTCAACATAGATCTAGATGACAGGGTTGCACTTTTTCCAAACAACTCTTAATAATTTATTCATAGCAATCCCCTTTTTCTGATATAATCAGAAGTTTTGTGCACGGTCGTGTTTTCGGCAGAAAGATAATTCATTGAGCTTCATAGGTTAATAAAATAATTCAATTGTTCAGTATAACCTGTACTATCTTACATATTATACATTTACAACTTTCTGAGCATTAACTTGCTACATTGTACAGGAAACACATCGCTGCTGGTTCCGGTCCCCTCATTTGATTCCATGTAAGTTATAAGATTGAAATCCTTTTCACTAGAAAAGAAAAAAAAAGGAAAGCAGGGTCATAGTTAGGTTACCTTCCGCCATATAGAAGAAATCCAAGGGCAGCAAACAAAGAAACACCTACAAGACGTAGAGTCAAAAGCATAACTGATCAGTATCACTGTGATAAGAATAAAACACTGCTTTGAGGTTCAAAGAGCAGAACAACCTGCAAAAAACATCTTCGAAAGGATAACTACAACTGGAATAGGTTTCCACCACAGGATCAACCACATTGCTATCTGAACAACAAATTTCAGATTTAAAAACATGAGTGAACAAAAGTGGAAACATTTTCTATAAAATATCATTTTTTACAGGTCCAAAAATCATCCACACCAAGAGAAGTAGAATAACATACAATATCTCACTCAGACAAGAAACTGTAGCATGTGTAATTTGGCAAGCCAAGTTTTTCATTACATCAACTTATTCCACTAAGGTTGGGTTGACTATACGAATCCTTTTACACCCTTGCACTCAATCTTATGTCATCTCTTCACTGGTGTTTCCCAAACCACATGTCCTAAATCACCTCAAACAGCTTTCCTTATCTTGTCCTTAATTAAATTTATAACCTCTTTTCCTCAAACAAATTAGTTTCTAAATACCATGTTTGTCTCAAGTATCTATTCGTCGAAAGAAACATTCTCATCTCTGCTACACTCAATTTTATGCACTTGTTGGTATTTGACAGCACAATCTACTGTGTCATGCTAGAGCATTATTGTTGCTTATTAAATCTGCCTATGTGAGATTTATCTTCACAACCGGTCCTAAGCTTGGATATAGGGGGAGGGGAGGGATGCAACAGGTAGTCAACGGCTAGCGAAGAAAATAAACAAATATCAATCTGATGTATTAGGCAACAAACTAGGCCATATACATAGGTTAAAGTAATAGGCTCTTGATCTGAAGAATCAATTCAAGGATTACATAAAAGATGACGATTGGACAGAAATTTGTCCAATCCTATTTACTAATTGTGCAAGGCACATGCCAAGGTTCTTAAAAACACCCCTAAACTATTTTCCAAAGTTGCCTACATAAACCTTATTGACGCGTTACAATGGGTGGAAGAACTTATCCCGAAAAGCTAGCTTGCCAGGAGAGAGAACCCAACCCATTATAAGCCTCGGAATATCTCCTTAGTTGCCAATGTGGGACTTTGCCCACATCATCGTCCCACTCTTCAAGGATTCTGCAACCTCGCAAAACGGCCCCGAGGACGACGCCTCGAGTCACCACAACCCCGAGGATAAAGTGCCAGAAGGTGGGCACCCAAGGAGTGGCTCTGATACCATGTTGATGCGTTACAATGGGTGGAAGAACTCATCCCGAAAAGCTAGCTCGCCAGGAGAGAGAGAACCAACCCATTAAGCCCTAGACTATCTCCTTGGTTGCCTGATGTGGGACTTTGCCCGCATCGCTTATAGAAGCGATGCTTGACAAAATTGCGACTTCACCAAAACAAAAAAGAAAAGACGTCCTCATGGCAATAGGCCTCCATCAACATCCAACTTCAAGCCCTCATATCTTTACCCCAACATTGAATCAACATAAGAGTCCCATTTAAGGTGTTTCTCTACCATTCATGCTTTTCTCAAATCATTTGATGCTACCGTTTATTATTATAAATAAAGAACCCAACGCGTAAAGGGAACCCTTTAAACTAAAGCACGTTCAACAGGATTGCTGCTAGCATGACGATAACATGCACTACCTAGAGTATCAAACCAATATCTAGTTAGGAGGTATAAAAAAAGCCCGTATTAAGGGATCCATTATGTAAACTTCCTTACAAGACCTATAAAGATGATTGCACAAAAGTTCACCGCTGAAAATGAAAAGGCTAGGCAGATGAGCCATAAGTTGCCAAACCTATTGTGGGTAATATACTGCTATTCTTTGCCAGAGGGACAGCATGTACTCTTTATCATTAAAAAACATAGCATATTGGTGGTTCTTCACACGGACTCAAGAGGTCTTGATTTTAATTCCCCCTTTCACGCTCCATCTACTAGGCCATTGGAAAAGAATTAATTTTTTTTCATTTAAATAGGTCCAAGAGAAATAACAAGAAGGCAGTGTTCGTTACAAAACAGTAAAGAGCATTTTGATACTTGATAGGATGCGCGTGAAACAAGTCGAGACTAAGCACAAAAAAAATAAACTCAAACATAAAAAGTTTGCCCAAACCAAGGATATAACGGGAGACTATGTAAACAAGTGAAACGATGTAATTAAGGTACCAATTTTTATGTGTGGATTGCAAACACATCACAAGTCCCATTGCCCATAACACCAAGTGCAAACGATTCCAGAGGTAGCCACCAAGACATTGGCTCGTATCTCACCTAGTCCATGAGGTTAGTGGGACATTTCTGAGGCCTAACTTTACCTACCTATGATGTGCTTCCTCATCATTCAAAATAACTTCGACAAGTGAAACAACATCCAACAAATGCTCATGTAAAAAAACAGGACATTGTAAGGGCCGAGTAGGACTAAGAAAAGACAGATGGAAACTCCAAAGAAGACACTGAGCAGTGAATCTAACTTGAAGGACTCTCATTAGAGCACAATGTCCTTAAAGCATCCATGGCCAAGCCAACTTAGTGGATCAAGCAGCTGTTTTTGCAGTTGTTTTTGTAGCTTGACCTTTCCTACTTAAGATCCTAAATTGGTCAATAAGAGGAACCAATCAAATAGCATGAAGGGGAGGATCAACTTGTAGGCTTTGGCGATCAAGTATCTCAAACCATAATGCGATCCATCTATTTCCTTTCAAGCCAAATTTTAGGCAAAAGAGCCTGGTGAAGGACCTTATTAGGGACATTGAAAACCTTCTAAACATGATTTTCCAAACAATATGCCACTAGATAAGGAGGAATTGTCTCAATTGTCCGTGCATCAAACTCACTCAAGCAATATAGGTTCAATGTTGAGATTCCAGTGGAGCTAGTTCAAGAAGACAAGAACCTGTTTTAACTTGGCCGAACTTTGCTTTCTAACCAATTCAAACTCGATTTGATCACCTATTCAAACTCAATTTGATCTTCTTACTCAAATAAATCGAGAAAGAATTGCTACACGCTAAAACTCAAGGTAGCTAGTTTGCCATCTTAAGTTACTAGATGGAGCTCTAAGTTCGAACTTAAGCAAGAAAAGTTTTGCACATAAAAACATACAATAAAAAATCTTAAATGTGCTATGAACACGCTAGTTCATTTGGGCTCGTCAGTTGCTTGAAACAAGTATGCACAACCCCGTGCTTAAAACAATACATTGCTCACCGAGCTTGAGCAACTGATCTCTTGCAAGCTAGTCCCTATCTCTCACCATACATTTCATTGGCCACCAAAACCAAAATTTAGTTACGTGAAAATCATCTACGGTTTGTCTAGATTGACTTTTACATTTTGCATTTCGCTTAATTCAAAATCATGCGGCTCATGCAATTTGAATTTTTCACTTTTTTTTTTAAATTCGAAATACTAGAAACTTTCACAGAGTCCAAATAATGACGCGTACATTCATACATGACATTTTCATTATTTTTTTAAAATTGGAGTTATATTAAAATTTGGCAGGCAAGCAAAAAATTGCTTCTCGCTTTGAGTTAAGCTAAGGCAGCGAAGGCTTTACTAAAATGTTCACAACCTTGCACTTTTCTGTTTTCGGAATAAGTCACAATGTCATTACTCCATTATTGTTACGTAAATCCCAAATCTGATATTTGTAAATATCACTTTTTGCCTCTTGAGAGACAGAGATAGAGAGAGAGACAGAGAGAGAGAGAGAGAGAGAGAGAGAGACAGAGATTTGAAAAAAAAAAAATATAAAACAATTGCATGATGTAAAGGTATGATGTCATCGGTCCAAAACTTGCAATTTCTAGCTCATGTACAAGATAGTAACCGCAGCTCTTCACACTGACTTCACATATAGTTTGACTTTTTTAATAGGCATACATGTTGAGGAACAAGAAAAAAATTCAAAAATTCAAGCTGAAAATTTGGTAGGAAAAGGAGCACCTAACACTAATATAGATAATAATCAACAAACCAGTAACAACAGCTGCTAAAAAAAAACAAATGGAGTCCAAAATCTGGCCTTCCAATTTAAAGAAAGATCAGCAAACGAGAGTTTTCACCTGAACTGCATAGACCACAGCATTAATCGTAAAAAAACTAGGCCGGAGTCCATCAGTACATACAGCACGTGCCTGATCCACATTCACGCCAAATGATAATGAGTCCGAATGTCCACTATAAACTCAACATACCAACAAGCTGCATGTGCACGTGGCACCTCACCTGATAATATATCTCCGCCCAGAAGAGGACCAAAAGTGCGTATGTCGTGAAGAATGCAAGGCTCGGCATGTCAAGCAATACATGCTGGAGAATCTGAGAGAGACAGAAAGTCCAAAGTAAAATCATAACAAGTATCATAAACCGGAGTAGAGCTTACAGAAATATATGTTAAGGATTGAAATTCGAAACCTCGGGAGATAACTTCTGAACGTCCCGCCGGAACACAAACGCTAGACATCTAACTGCACACGTTCAAAAAGAAATCTTGGGTCAGGCGACAATAAACTGAAAGGAAGAATGTCGGAATGCTAAAGCTCAAAAAGCACCAACCGCCATTGACCAAGAAATTGAGGAAATGGAAGACTTTCTGCGTAGTCCAACCGAACTCGGGAACTCTCAATTGTATCCGAACGAGTTGAACCTACAGGAGAAAAACAAGTCCCCTCATCCACTAATGCACAATTGCACAGACTTGGAGAAACAAGGAATCGAACTAACAATTGGAAGCAAAAAAAAATCCGACTTTCCGCAGCAGCAATTTCCTCGTGGCTAATTAACTAAACTGAACAAGCTGCATCAGCAAAAGACCACCAATTCTTTTTGCTGATTTCAATCAAACCAACAGAACAAAGCGACATGTAACCGAGAAACGAAAACGAGAGGCTGAACCCTATCCGTCGAACCAATCCGGCGACGGGCGCGCTTAATTCCGCGAAGAACCCACGAATCTAATTCGAGAAAAAAAAAAGAAGAAAAAGCAAAGGCAAGGGGGGGGGGGGGGATTACCAGGGCGACGGCGGCGACGACAGCGTAGAGGGCGGCGAGGGCGTGGAAGATGCGATCCTGCCACACCGCGGACGCGTTCACGTCGTCCCACCAATTCGAAGCCGCCGTCATCTCGTAGGCAGCGGCCGCCGACGACGCCGCCATCTCCCGAAGCCCTCGAATCCTCCGACCCCTGTCCTCTCGCCCTCTCTCTCTCTCCCCACAAATTTGAGCGATTCGAGGAGGTAGATCAATAAAATATTGACGATTCGGTTTTGCCTTTCCGTATATTCCTAAAAATCTCTCTCTCGCTCGCTTCGATTGACGAGGAGACGAAACTGGGAGGACGAGGACGAGGACGAGGACGGCCGGCGAGGATGTCCCCCTAGGTGCGAGCACACTTGCTGATCCTCTCCTCGTCTTTTCTTCTTACGTTTTTTTTTTCTGCTTCTTTTCTTTTTGGGTGTTGGTGTTCGGTTTTGCTGTGCAGTAATTCGAAAGTGCGAGGAAGGGAGCTCTTTCGGTTTTTTACTAATGTGTCCTGTCATCGTTCGGTGTCTTCCTCTCGAACATGCCTTTTGAAACACGGCCAGGCGAGGCGATCGTGCTGAGGCCTTTGTCTTTTCTCACGCGCGGGTGCGAGCCGGCGGGGGGCTTGTGCACGCGCCCCCCGTGCTTCGCCGCCCCGCCACGTGTACCGTTTCCTTCTTTTCCTTTTTAATTTCTTTTTTCAGTGTAATTTCCAGGACCTTATCCTTTCCCTCCCCGCTCTCCCGCGGAACGAATTAGAATCGAGAACCGAACTGGCTAGTTCCTCGTCTATTCGGGATCGAGGCTAAGCTCTTGCTTTTCGGAAAAGAAATACGAAGATCCTATCGTGTGGCGTGGCTGTTTTTCGTAAGCACTTGGAAAATCTTCCGGGCAAATGAGTGTGAGGGTATGTACCGTGTTGAAGCTTTACGACGCGAGTTTTGCTCGGTAGATCTGTTTTGCTTTCAAAAAAGGAATGATGACGTGAGCGAAGGTTTTTTATTTTTTTAACGTGCAATGCAATCCGTGAACCGTAATCCTTTCACTTTTAAGAATCCTCCCGCTATAATCCTTCCGTTCTCAAATATCCGATACCATTCAACGACATAACTATAATTAATGTTAACTTGACATTAAATTGATCGTATCGGCATCCTCGTGGCATATACGTAGCTTCCATGTATATCCCATTCTTTTGGCTGAAAGGAAAAGAAAGAAAAGATTCAATGCCTGGGGAATACGATGTGCCACTCCACATTACTATTTGGCCTAATAAGCGCTGACGTGGCATTCTGCGTCGGAAAAATACACGTGACGTGGTAATATATTGAACGAAAGGACTACATATAGCGGATTTTTAAAATTTTAGGAATTAAGTCGAAACAAAAATAATTGGCAATCACATAGAATATAGAAGAAAAATTCATGGACCGTCCATGTCATCGATAGAGGTGAGTATCGGTCCAGGGTCAATCTTAAACTGATATTAGTTGACCCTGCACTGTGTGAGTTGGTTCTCGATCCTGGATCCTCGGTCTTGGGAGTTTAGGATTGGTCTAATCCGGACCAACCATATATAATATCTATGAGGTTTTATATATTATATGCTTTTGTCTACTCTAAATTCTAGCGTCTCCTCCTTTGTTCTCTTCTTTCTTATGCAGTTCAGTTTGCCATGTAAATTAGAAAGTAGAAAGAAATGGAGCCCTAATTCAATCAAAAAAAAAATAGAAAACCTCTTCGCTCGCCTCAGCATTGCTCGCTCGCCCGCCTCAGCCTCTCGCCTTGCTCACCTCGCCTGTTTTTTTTTAAAGAATGAACAAGATATGAAATTGTATAATTAATCGCTTATATTACGTATTTTGAACTTTTTATGGTTTAATTATATTTCACATGTTTGTTTTCATGATTTGTTACTCTTAGCAAGTGTGAAATTTATGTTGTTACCTTATATTACATTTATGTTTATTAAGTATTGGTGTTCATAGTTTGGTTATGTTGCATTATGAATATGTAATTTGAAATAGTATGTTTGTCATTTCGAGGAATAGAAAAAATGAAACATAAAAAATAATCTGTTGGTCCCCGGTTAACTTTGGAACCGGACTATACCCATAGGGCCGGTCCTGTCCTTAGTCTAGGCTCAACAGGGTCAGTCCTCGGTCCCAAATATTGAGGACCAACATTGTGCGGGTTGGTCCTTAGATTAGGTGTTGGACCAATCCAACTCAAACCATGCTCACCCCGAGTCATCGCACGTCTCCGGCTCATGGGCATTGGACAGAAAGAAAGAAGCAAGGCAAAAACCTTTTGTGCCTGGATCACTAGTGATATTGATCTAAAAATTAATCATATTACGTTAAAACAAGTGTGATATCTAACATAAAATCAGTGGAAAATTTTTCACCTCTTTGATGTTTTTCAATTTTTCCATCATAATCATCCAAAAGTAAGCTGTATGAAATATTCATTATGGACTGCAGATGTTACAAAATTGCACTCACAAATGCAATCAGAAACCAGAAATAGAATCACCAGTAAAATATATGTTTAGTACAAATAATCAAACTCGAGAAATGTTTATACATGTGCCTGCCCTCTCTTTTTCACCATTACGCCATATTTATCTCTTGCTGTCTTTAATATTAATTCCGAAAATAAGATGCGTTTTGAGTGTGAAATTGAAAAAAAAAGGATTTAGAAAATAGCCAATTCGAGTAGAAATGAGAATTTGAAGAACAACATAGAATTAATTGGTCCTTAGTCGGCAATTCCTAGCTCCAGGGTGAGAATCGTCCACCCTGAAACCGATCACCCCTAGCACTGGCGGCATGTGACCAAGCGATAGCGTGAGATTGGGCGACAACGGCGATAGAAGGGCGAGGGATTTGAACGAAACTAAGGGTTCGTTTGTTTGGGGGATAATTGTTTTTCGAGCAATTGTTTTCTAACTTTCCAGTGTTTGGATGACGAAAAACCAATAGATTTACGGAAAACGTTTCCATGGATTGAAAAATAACAAGTTTAGATTTTAAAAAAACGACTTCCTTTCTCGCAAGAAGGAAATTACTTTCCCCAAATCACCAAACAAGTGAAAGCTACTCGTTTTTCCTTGAAAATGATTCATATGAAAAATATTTTTCTTTATCATGAAGTGTTCAGTGAAATAAATCCACCCTAAAAGAAAAAACTCTTCCTACGATTCACGTAAAGCCTTCACCCCGATTCCGGCCTCAGCTCGGCCACTTCTCTCAGAGCAACTCCACCTCTTCAATCCCCAGTTATGGTCGGGATTTGGACGTGAAGAGAGACCTGTTGAGGCGAATAAGGGAAAAAATGAGGTCACGCTTGCTGGTGTAAGTGATAATTTAGGTTCCGATTTGGAGGAGCTGGAGTTGGAGACTTGTAATGGGAAAGAGCTGTTTAGAAAGCTCTGGGCAAAAGTACACTACAAGTGCCATAACTTGTGTATGGCGATCACTTTGGTGCCATAACTTTTTTTCGGATCACTTTGGTGTCAAGTCGGAGGAAAAGAGATCACTTTAGTGCCAATTTAGCCGGAAATCCGATGTGGCATTTTTTATTAATTTTTTACGCTAACGTGGCTCGCCGGAGGCTGAGTCAGCGTGTACAGTCAGCATTTTTATTTTAAACAATTTTTTCCAGCGTATACAGTCAGCATTTTTAATTTTAAATATTTTTTTCCTTTTTTTTTCTTCTTTCCTTTTTCTTTTCTTTTCTTTTTTTCTTTTCTCTCCTCGCCGGGTTGCGTGGCCGGCCGGCCACGGCAAGCCCGGAAGGGCCGGGCGAGGGCGGCCTTGCCCATGGCCGGCGAGGGGCGGCCTCACCGAGATCCGGGCGAGGCGACCCTCGCCGGCGACAGGCGAGGCCGGCCTCGCCGGCCTAGGCGGGCCGCCTCGCCGGATCCGGGCGAGGGCGACCCTCGCCGGCGCCGGGCGAGGGTCGCCACGCTTGGGCGGGCGTGGGCGACCTTCGCCCTCGCCGGCGTAGGGCGAGGAAGCCCCGCTGGGCGGGCGAGGGTCGCCCTCGCTCGAGCCGGGCGTGGGCGACCCTCGCCCTTGCCCGGGCGGGCGAGGGTCGCCCTCGCCGGCGTCCGGGCGAGGGTCGCCCACGCCCGGCTCAGGCGAGGGCGACCTCGCCCGCCCGTGCGAGGGCTTCCTCGCCCGACGCCGGCGAGGGTCGCCCGACGCCGGCGAGGGTCGCCCTCGCCGGCGCCTAGGCCGGCGAGGGTCGCTTCGCCCAAATCTGGCGAGGCCGCCCCTCGCCGGCCATGGGCAAGCCTCGCCCAACCCTTCTCGGGCTTCTCCGGTGGCCGGCCGGCTACTGGCAACCGGCCGGCGAGGGGAGAAAAGAAAAAGGAAAGAAGAAAAAAAAAGGAAAAAAATATTTAAAATTAAAAATGCTGACTGTATACGCTGCAAAAAAATTATTAAAATAAAAAATGCTGACTGTACACGCTGACTCAGCCTCCGGCGAGCCACGTCGGATTTCCGGTCAAATTGGCACTAAAGTGATCTCTTTTCCTCCGACTTGGCACCAAAGTGATCCGAAAAAAAGTTATGGCACCAAAGTGATCGCCGTACACAAGTTATGGCATTTGTGGTGTACTTTTGCCGAAAGCTCTGATAGCGTAATAATGGTGGTAAGGTTTTGCCATTGAGTTGTAGAAATAATGGTAAGAGTGGCAATTTCAAAAGGCAAAATTTTAAATAAGAGCCTGAAGTGCTATCATTTTCTCAAATAAGGACCTGTAGTGGATTTTATTTCAAATAAATGCATGAAATGGCCAAATCATCTCAAATAATGACTTTTGGCCGGCCGGCCAACATATGAATATTCCAGCAAAGGGTATTTTGGTAAAAAAAATTATAAGTATATATTTTTTAAAATTTTTTACAGTTCCTTTTCTTTTTCCTTTTTCCTCCCCTAGCCATCGCCATGCCTCATCGATGCCGGCCTCAAGCAAGGGCCGCCCTCACCGACGTCGGGCAATGGCGTTTCTTGGTAGATCCGGCGAGGGTTAGGAGGGCCCTCACCTACGTGGGGCGGCCCTCGCCTGAGTTCAACGACCTCCGCCGGCCATCAACAAGGCCAGACAATGGCCCGCAGAGGGAAGAAGGAAAAAGAAAAAAGAAAAAAAAAGTAATAGAAAAAGCATAAAAAATTTTTTAAAAAGTAAAAAACGAAAATGCCCTTTGGCCAGCGAGGTCAGGCCCTTCTTTGAGTTTGATATGGTCACTTCAGGTCTTTATTTGAAATAAGGTGCACTTCAGACCTTTATTTAAGAAAACGATGGCACTTTAGGTCTTTATTTGAGAAAATGAAGGTGCTTCAGGCTCTTATTTGAAATTTTTCCCTCTGAAAATGTTCTATGGATTTGGAGTGGGGACATGGACAATGTTTGCCATAACAAAGTGTGTGAGGCTCAACATCGCCGGCGGTTGATTCTAGGATTGGAATGTCGTTCTTGACAATGAGTAAAATTGGGTTTAACTTGGGGGCGAAGGCTTTGTGTGAATCGTAGGGGAAGTTTTATCTTATAGGCTCTGTCCGTTTTACGGAAAATAACTTTTGAGAAAACATTTTTCGAATTTTTCAAAAAGAGAAAATCATTTTCCTTCTTCTTCTTTCACCATTTATTTTCAATATTTTTTTTTCTTTTTTTTTCCTTTTTCTTCCTCAGCCAATCGCCGGCCACGGCTGCGGTCGGTGACCGGCCAGCTTCAGCTCGCCACAGGCCGGCAAGGCTTGACCTCGCCAAAATTTGGCGAGCTCGAGCCTTGCTGGCCTATGGCGAGGCTCGAGCTAGCTGGTTGCCGGACGCCGCCGCCATGGTCGGTGACCGGCTGAGGAAGAAGAAGAAGGAGGAAATAAAAAAGAAAAAAAATATTTTTAATGACTTTCAGGAAAATTAAAAAATATTTTCCGAAACTTTTTCAGATTTCAGTGGAACACCGGAAAAATTATGTCATTTTCCAGGAAAATGACTTCCGAGAAAACATTTTCCGTGAAATAAACAGAGCCTTAGTTTCGTTCAAATCCCTCACCCTTCAACTGTCGTCGCCGCTGGTCGCAAGCCACCAGTGCCCACCTATCCTCGCTCAGGCAGCACTCCATTCAAATTTCAACCTTCGTTTTCGTATAGGTTGAGAATAGAGAAAGAACCGATTTTGAGATTTTTACTTTTATAAATTTGGCTTTTCTTTTTATTAAAAAAAATTTTGGACAAAAATGCGATTATTTCGGTTGCCGGAAAGTCACGTGCTTGCTGGGCATCATTTAAGATTGATTTGGGCATTTCAGGCCCTTATTTGAGATTTATTTGGCTTTTCTTTTTAGTAAATTTTTTTAGACAAAAGTGCCATTGTTCCGATCACCGGAAAAGTTAGATGCTTGTTGGTCAGCGATCTTAGACTCTTATTTGAGATTGATTTGAGCAATTCAGGCTCTTATTTGAAATAATGTCCACTTTAAACTTTTTTTTTGAAAAAATGACCCCAGTTCAAACCCTTATTGAAAATTTCCCAAACTTTAATGAAAGGAGGTTTGAGAGACTGATGCTTAGGCTGCGCATGTCAACTTGCCAAATAGTGTTTGATTATGTTCTTTTGTTCCCAGAATCAGTTTGGGAATAGAAATCCGTTTGTCTAATTTTTTGATTCTGGGCACAAATTCTTGCAAATTTGTGCCCAAAATCAGTTTTGGAGCAGAATCAAGAATAAAAAAAAAGTAGCTTCTTGATTCTGGGAACAAAAATGAGAATCAGTTTTTTTTTTCTTCTTCTTTTTCTTGGTTTTTAATATAGCTTCTAATGTCCGGCACGAGGGCCACCCTCGCCATATCTGGCGAGATTAAAATATTTTAATAAAAAAATTTTACCGGCCATGGCCAGCGACCAGGCTATGGCAAAAAAAAATAAAAAAAATATTATTAATAAAAAAAAATTTACCGGCCATGGCCAGCAACCAGGCCATGGCGAAAAAAATAAAAAAAATATTTTCAATAAAAATATTTTCATTAAAATATTATTAATAAAAAATTTATTTATAAAAAAAATTTTACCGGCCATGGCCAAAAAGGAGGAGAAGAAAAAAAGAAAAGAAAGAAATATTTAAATATTTAAAATGTTATTAAAATATTATTAATAAAAAGAAATTTTATGCCGTTACCAAACGCATTTTTATTCTTTTACTATTTCAGGAATAGAAATTTTGAGCCGTTACTAACGCCTTCAAATGCTTAGAATCGGTTCCTGGACAACGAATAAAAAGAATCATTTCGACCGAATGCATTCTAGCACGAGAATGGTTGCCATGCGTAGCCTTATCCACTCCAAAATCCTTCGTTTCATCTATCTTCATAAACGTAAGTCGATGCCGTCCCGATCAATTAAATATTAATAGATTTTAAGGTAACTCGATAACCTCTTTGAGTATTTACAACGGACTTTATACTAATGACGTGGGTAAACTTCCAGCACCCGCCACATAAGATTCTGGCAAGAAATTTACTAACCTAATAAACAAACATCGATAAATTCGAACGGAAGTCGAATCGACGGTAACTCAAAACACACGACACGGTTCGATATGCTTAATTGATATCCACCGTCACCGTGCATCAAAAAGTTGAACTTGCTCATGGCCTCACTCACGGACCATTAGAACCGTACGAGGATTTTTGTGTTGCCGCACCTTAAAAATAGAAAACGGAGCCAAAGCAAATCCTCGAATTTACAAGCTTAACACATAATACACAAACGAGAAGCTTTTAAAAAGAAGAACGAAGGAAGAAGAACGAAGAAAGAAGAAGAAGAAAGAGGCAAAGAAAAAGGAGGAAAAAATAGAGGAAAAATTTGGAGTGGAGAGATTTGGGGCTTATTAGCCGAGAGAGAGAGAGAGCGATCACACGCTCGTTCATCCCTCTCCCTCTCCCTCTCCCTCTATCCCTCGCCCTTTCTTCTATCCATCGCCCCTCTTGCTGAGGCGGCTCTGCGCATTCCCCTTCCCCTTCTCTCAGATTGGATCTCGCTCTCTCGCTCTCTCTCTCTCTCTCTCTCTCTCTCTTGCTCGCTCGCTCTGTGTCTCTCCCTCTTCGCCTCTGCTCATCGGTTGGATCTGGGACGGAGGGATCGTCGTCTCGATCGATCTCCTTCGGGGGGCTTCGCAGGTCTTTGGGCGGGGACCGCCATGGTCGCGGGTACGCGAGAGCCGACGAACCAGCAGGCCCATGTCTCGGCGGCCTCCGCCGAGGAGGAGGCCTTGAAGAGGAACACCGATTGCGTCTATTTCCTCGCCTCTCCTTTGACCTGCAAAAAGGTTCGCCCTTTTTTGTGTGCTCCCCCCTCTCTCTTTACTGTCTCTCTGTCTCTATGTCCCTCTCCCTGTCTCTTTCTCGATTTCTTTTTTTGATTTTCTCGTTAGGGTTCAGGTACAAAAAGATTATGCGCTTTTTTGTAGCTCTTTGGAGTTCTGGTTCTTGGGTCCGTCATATCTTTGGCCTCAGAGTTAGGGGTCGGCGGTAGTCGTCCGAACCCTTGCTCGGCGGTTTGTGAATTGGGATCTTGTTAGGGTTTCTGATTGTTGAATTGGGTTTCGTTGGTTCTTGTTCGCTCGAGTGAAATCTTTGGTGCTTCGTTTTCTTGACACGAGCGGGAAATTATGTCTATGTGGTTATGAACAATGGGTTTTGGTCTTAAAGATGCTGACTTTGCTTGTTCTGTTAGTGTGTTCGTTGTTTATCCGTTTCAGTTCAGTGTGTTTTGATCGGAATAACCAATAAAGGTTCTTACATGGTGGAATGAGGTTGAGTCTCAGCTGCCTTGTGTAGTCTAAACGTATTTAGACCTAGAGAAGCATGGTTGAGATGGTGCCGTTTGCCTAATGCGGAGGAGAATGTTTCTTTTGGCCATGCATGATTCGGAAGTACGTAGTTGTAACGTCAAGAGGGTGGTGAGCACCTGGCAGTGTGATATTTTCCCTTCTCAGTTATGATCTTGTTGCCGCCTTTGTAATATCTATCGTCTCGTTAATTATTCAATGAATGGCAGCTGTCTCCACCGACAATTAAGGTTGTTAGATACGAATTTCGGGCGGAAATAAGCCATGATCCCGTCCCTCAATAGGTTTTCCACTTTTGAGTCTTCCTTGCCACGCGTATTGTTTGTCATACTCTAGTGTTGCCGATATGCAATTGCTTTTGTGATTAGAAGCTTAGGCTGGCTTATCCGAGTTTGCAAAGGGATTGCGCCGTCTTGTTTGAATGGAATTAATTATATATTGTAATTAGTGGCTTCCTCTTATCTATTGTGTATTTATGTGAGCTCTTGTATATTTATTGACTGATTGTCCTTGTTAAAGGGAAGCGAATGTGAGTACCGCCACAGTGAATATGCCAGGGTTAATCCCAGAGATTGCTGGTATTGGTTGAATGGCAATTGCTTGAATCCAAAGTGTGCTTTCCGTCATCCTGTAAGTTTTCCTTTCTTGCCTGATTTGTGCCGTTTTTTTAAGTCTTAGATTTCTCTTTCAAGTTACTGTTTCTCAGTCTCTATATACAGTAGTCTTTTACTATATAGAATGTTCGTTGCGATATTAATGGCACAAGTGTACGATTGTTATTTCTCAGCCCCTTGATGGCTTATTGGGAGCACCAGCCGCAGTGCCAGGTGGATCTTCTTTGCCGTCGCAGCAACCGGCAATACCACCGGCAATGCCACCTGCAATGCCACCTGTGGCACAGGTCTCTCACAATTCCGGAAAACAAGCAGTACCCTGCGTATTTTTCCAGAAGGGAATTTGCTTGAAAGGCGATAGATGTGCCTTCCTGCATGGAACAAATACCGTGGTTAGCAAAGTGCAGCAGGCACTGGTATCAACGCCTGTTAATGATTCTTCTACCGTGAAGAAACCTTTTGGCAGCCTAGAGAAATGTTCTCAAGCGCAGAAGGTCCCACCAAACGCCTCTAAATTAACATCTCGACCTTCTGAGTCAAAGCCCTTTCCGAAAGTTGAAAATGTTTTACCGAGAAATGAAGTAAGCATAGAAAAAAGTGCACCACCATCACTGCCTCCTCCCAGAATCATTGATGAAGGTGCCTCTAGATATAGGCCTTCAAGCACCCCTACTGTAAATGGAAACTCGCAGAACAGGACTAGTCGATTGCATCAGCCTGTTGTTCCAGACGACTACCATAGCTCACACAAAGACAAGGAGGTTGATGAATATCTCAGGGAGTCCTCTCCTGGTTTTGATGTTCTTGTGGATGATGAGCTTGGAGAGTCTGATTATTATCACAACGATGATCAATTTGGAAGAGGAAGAACCCATGAAGGAAGAAACATAGGCTCTGTGACCGATTATGACTTGGACCGCCCTGGAGATTATAGTGCAGATATTGAGCATGAGATGTTTCGCGATCCACGTGCATATGACTCTTTTGATCGTAGGTATGGTTGGGATCAACGGCAGGATTCATCTGAGCTTATTCTTGGGGGACCGATTCTTAGAGAGAGGAGGGCATACCCAAAGAGTGAGAGCCCCGATCATGCGGATGACTCTGATCTGCGTCACCGATTGTCAAAGCAGAGGAGGGTCAATGGTTTGAGGTCAGTTGTTAGTCATGATTTTGTCCCTGACAGCCATGCTGCCGATAGAACCTATCGTGGGTCATCTCGGAGGGATTCACAGCACTCATCTTCTCACGAGGGCCAAGGTAGCAGCCGTCTTAAGGGTAGGATAAAGTTTCCAGGGAGACTCAATGGGGGGGATGTTCACTCAGATAGGGAGATGGAGACGGGAAGGAACCCGGGGAGATCATTTCAAGGTGTTAATAGGCTTAGAGATAGACTAAAGGGCCGGGCACAGGATGATTACAACGTGGAGGCGAGGAATTTACAAAGCCCTCGGATGAGAAGGGAATCAGTAGACGAAAAGAGCATCAATTTTGCAGGCCCGAAAAGTCTTGCAGAGTTGAAAGGCCTGGGGGGACGTGGTCAAGAATCATCTTCCATTGGAAAGCAGCAGAATTGTCCTCTGGACCAACCGTTGGGAGATGTCACTTTTGAGGGGCCAAAGCCCCTTAGTGTGCTTTTGAAGAGGAAGAGAGAACCTGAAGGTGCTGGTTCCGGGTCTAGATCATCTGCAAGCAAGGAAGAGCATAGTCACGAGGTGAACTCCCAGAAGCATGCTGATCTCACAATTCATCCCAAGGAAGAGGATGACGGCTATAAGTCTGCACATAATCTGCAAGTATCCAAATCAGGCACAGCTGATGCTGTTGGTAACAAAGATTACACTGAAGGAGCTTACGATGCTGTTCAGGGCAGAGAGATAGAGAATGAAGACGGAATGATCGTCGAAGATGCAACGGAAGACCCTGATCTCGGAGCTGATGATCAGAGGGACGGGGACTACTCTTATGAGCAAGGCGATGAGGGGGATTATAATTATGAAGAAGGTGAAAATGCTGAAGGGGAAGGGGAAGAGGAGGAATATCTGGATGATGAAGACGGGGATGACTTTGCCAAGAAAGTCGGGGTCATGTTTTCTTGAGCACAGGGAGGCCGAATCTGCCGGGCGATTGGTTGGTTCAGCTAAATATGGAATTACCATGGATGTTAAGAGTTTCCTTTCGTCATTTGTGTTGTTTTGAAACCTTTTATAATTTGTTGTATTTAAAGCCTTTGATGATCGAATGGGATTTTTCTTATGCTTAAGGCATTTGGCATGCCCATTTACTCAAAAGTTTGCTACAGTGAATGACTGTACCGCTAGGAAATTAATAAGAATTTCAGTTTAACCTTCCCCTCAACTGCTCCTAGTATTCATCGTCTCTTAGAACAATTCATGCTACCATATGCTGTGTAAATGAGGCTTCTCTACTGGTTAGCTGGTCTCTGATCTGATTCTTTCTTTTGGAATGTCTGCATGTGCTTATCATTATGTATTCAATTTTTGTATAAGAAGAAGTGCACAAGTTTGCCCTGTTGCGGAATTTGAATTTGAAATGGATACACTTTGCATATAATATGCTGCGAATGCTAGGCAAATAATATGTGCTGCCTTTTCGACCTCAAAACCTCAGGCATTCCAATCCGGTTCTCTATAGATGTGAGAACCCGACTCTGTTCAGCTTAAATTCCAGAGTTCGCTACCAGAGCTCAACCCTTGAAAAAAGCTCACTTTTACAGCCGGCTTCCGCGTGGTGTTTTGTTGCTTCCAATTTCTTCATTTGTGCCTGCAAGCAGCTTCAGGAGAGCGAGGTAAGGGACTTGGTCAATAGAATGCACGGGTTCCAGAGTGACCTGGAGCTCGGTAGTTTATACTGTACAGATCCTTGTCGTGGGGCGTTTGGAGGGATTCTTGATCCTGACGTGGTGTGTCAAATAGCTATGGTGAGCTTATGTGTGAAATGGCATAATGTCGCGCCTTGGCAAAGCACCTTTTCAGTGAAATGCCTGAGAGACGTAACCATTGCTTGGAGTGCAATGATTGCAGGGTATACCCTGTGTGGGGAGTCGAGGCAGGCCATGGATTTGTTCCGTGAGATGCAGAAGGAAGGTGCGAAGTCGACCAAGGTGTCGATCATTTCAGTTTTACCCGTGTCTACTCAGTTGGATGCACTGGATCATGGGAGGTGGGCTCATGCATAAATTGAAAGGAAAAGGTTTTGGATGACGGTGATGCTTGGGACTACATTGATTTACTAGTATGCCAAATGCAGGGATAGGGATAAGGCCATGGAGGTCTCCTGCGGGATGAAAGAGATGGCACATGTGGAGTAGGTGCCGTGAATGGAATCGAGCTTTTCTTGCCCAAGAAGAAAGATGCAGTTATCCTGAACGAAGCAAGCTTCATTGCGGAACTGAGAGGTTTTAGTGGAGTTGGACTAGTTGAGGAAGGGGGTGGAAGCATTCTGATTCGATCATTGAGGCGCCTCATGTAAAATCCAGCCCAAGCTTGAGCACTCCAGGTGCATGGTTGATATGTTGGACCAAGCTGGCCATCAAACGAAGCCTCAAATCTCACCAGTAACATGCCAGTGGAGACAGAAATAGGCAAGCTTGCCTCGAGAAAGTTGCTGGAGCTCGAAGCAAAGAATCATGGCGCTTACACGTCCTCTTGCACAATATATATGCCGACAGCGAAAGCCGAGGAAAAGTAAGCAATGTGGGGCTGGAAATGAAGTCTACAGGCATAAAGAAAGCTCCGGGTCGCGGTGTCCTAGTAGTTGGTGGTCAAGCTCATGAGTTCTTTGTTAGAGATGGTTCCCGCCAAATGTATGAAGAAATCAAAGTGACGGTGGGTGAAATTTTTCAGGAGGCTGAGATCATCCACATGGTTAACATGAACCTGATTTTGCTCGATGTAGAAGAAGAGGACAAGGGGGATTCTCTGTTTCTATACAGTGAGAAGATTGCTGCTGCATTTCGTTTATCATATTGAAGGAAGGGGTTCCTATAAGAGTAGCGAGAAACCTTTGGATCCGTTTTCGCCTGGGAATTATTGCGAGGCACAACAGTGGGTTTCGCCATTGCAAAGGGGCTGCGCACGTGCAGAGAATTTTGACGAGAATTAACAACTAAAGTAAGCAAATGGTTAACTACAACGTAGATTGTCTCCACCTCATGCCTTTGTTGGTACAATCTCTTCCAAGTTCATCACAATTTTGTCGCTCGAGTTTACTTGTCATCTTTTCATTTGTTGGCTGTTTCTCTTACTGAATCTTTCCCAGTTGAACCACCTCTATTTTTTCTCTCAGTACATGCCCTTTCAATTCTGCTAGGCTTCTATTGGATTCTGGCCTGGGAATTCTCACCTGGGATGGCCCAAACACTTATCACCCACATGGAATGTTTGTCCATTTTTCTGGAAGTATACAAAAAACATGTCATCCCCAATCTTGAGAGACTTTCACCTGACAGTTTCCTGGAACCCAAGACAGCCTTTTCTTTGATCATAGTCATCCGATTCAAGTCATGTCCTGCCACATACATTTGCAAACAAAAAGACCTTGTTTTTTTGTTTGTGTCCTTGAGCTCAGGGGCTACTGACTCAGTAAAATCAAGTGAATGATGCCGACTGGCCTGCGGGCTTCATTAACCTGTCCTAGTCTCTGTGGACAGTGAAGCAAGAGAACAAAAACAAGATGATCAGATAGTCAAAGAGAACCACATGGATAAACCAAGATAACCAGAGATCATTGTCCAACCACAAGGCTCAAAAATCTATTCAATTCTTTCATCGCCGAAGCAATTGGTGTATTTTACGCAACCTCGACACCGAAAACAATGACTGCTTCTGTGTCGACCAAAGGAAAATCCAATTTTATCTTCTTTCCTATATGCTTCGAGGAAAAACCAACTCACTCTCGCCCATTCTGTCTTTGCAATTTCTGCTGAACCCATTAAGCGATTATAGAAGTTTAAAGGCAACGCCTTGTACGACGAGTTCATAAAATTGTTAGATACGGAAACACTTATCTCCCTACAAGAGAAACTCAGATGTGAGAAAGAAAACTTTGATTCTTGCATAGAGCAACAAGAGAAAATTCTATCCACTTTAGTCATCGGATAAGATCGACCCTGTTCGCTGACCAGAACATTTGAAATGCAAAACTCGCCGTCTTCGAGATAGCGCAATGACTGCCACAGGATTGGAGAATATATCTTCTTTTCCCTTTTTCCCTTCTTTTTGGCCTGAACTAAGTGTAATGTCACAGACGAACATAAAAGATACCTCCAAGCCAACATGCCAATTTCAATTGTGGCCCTAAATCCTCCCCAGATGAATAATTCCTGATCTGACAAAGATTGTTCCTCGAGACCTCATGATTCCAAAAATCATATGTCTCCATCATATGTAGCCGTCCTTCGAGAGTCTAAATGCAACGCACGACAGTTATGGCACTTGATTATTCCCCTCTTTCGCCGAAAGTAATTCGAGATTCTTCCCTTTCTTCTTCTGAGTGAGACTATTAAGTAGCTTGCAAAAGGGCTAAAAGTTACCCGAACAAGTACGCCTTTCACTGGTTTGGCATGAAATGGTTGAACAAGGAATGCTATTAATGAGGAAAAATATCTCAGAAAATTAGGTACAGATGTTTATCGAGGCCAAAGATGAGAAAAGAAACTTGCAAGTTTTGGCAAACTCATTGACAAATTAGGTTCGGCACAATCAAAGCAGAATGGGGAATTGCCTGCGGCTTAAGTCACTTCAGGACTCAAATTCAAGATGCGATGTAAACTAGACCGAACTTCATAGCTTTATTGCACCTCCATTTCCAGCAAAACCCGAAAAAAGAATAAGAAAATAGTTTGCATATCTCAACGCCGCATCCCGATCAGGCGCAATTAATTCGCTGCGGTGGAGCCGAATATCTCAGTTCACCTCTCCTGTACACATTCTACGAAAGAAAGTGTTTGCACGTTCGTAGTGTATGCATTGCCGTTCTCTCACTAAGTTCGTAACCTCCCGTCAATATAAGTCCCCTCCACACGAGAAAGCGGATGTGCCGACTCCGATAGCACTCAATAATTTCGCCGTCGAGGCATGGCGGGGCGAGATACGAATGATTCTAATTTCATTCTTTGCTCATGAAATCAAGCATTAGCCAAAAACGTCCTTGTCCTCACCGAGTCTCTCATCTGCCTAAACCATTCAGGAGGTACTTTTTTCCAGTGATTATTGCTAAGTACCTGCAATATTACTGCTACCGAACCTCTTAAACAATTTACAAAAAAAGTTGGTTAAGTATGCATTGGGGAATGAATTATATAACTTAATCACGCATTACTTCTAATCAAATTTACTCTTAAAATACATTATTTAGCTAAACGTAGCTGAGTGAAACACGCTAACTTCTATGATTCTTCCTCCTAAACACCCTTATTTTCAGTCGACGGACGGCGACCGGAACCTTGCGTCGACATTAAATTATTCTCAACTCTTTAATTATGCATGTGATCCTCCATCTCCCGATAAAACTGGAACTGTAGCGGAAAAAAGAATTGAAATTGAACCTAGAACGTCATGTTCTTATCCCTACTTCTCCAAGTCAAAGATCTCCATATGCTTCCACGTGTTTCTCCTTAATCTACTGTACACACATCAATTTTTTTTCATGGGGGTCTTGGGGACCATCAGCCAAAAATTAAGGTATAAAAAAAATGAGAAGAGATTAGGACAATAGATTCCGAAAGTCGATGGTCATTTGTCGCTTGAAATCGAAGTCCCCCTAGGAGATAAATGCTATCTGGAGCAGATTCTTGCACGCCAATCTGTTCGACTTTTGACTTTCATGCTCATGTTCTATCTATCTGGAGCAGATTCTTGCACGCCAATCTGTTTGACTTTTGACTTTCATGCTCATGTTCTATCTTCTATTAAATATAATCCCTTATCATTGTTCATAACCATATGTTGAAGTTGTCGTACATAACATTCATTGCTCGCGACTTATTACCCCCTGGAAATGAACTGTAAGTTCAACTTTATCAAATATAATAATGATCGGCTTAAATCGAATATTCTGTAACACATACGAACCCTCTATGATGATGTTCGTAGGCGATCTTCATTGCCGATCGCAGATTCCCATCCTTATTAAAAAAGAAGGGGTGATAGGGTGAAGGTGTATGAACTCCAAGAATTCTTGAACGCTAATTTCCTGTCAACTAAATAGATTATAAATCAGAAGATCTTGATGATGTCAGTTCTTGAAATGAAGCAATTTTTTCTGAATACTTCGATCAAGAATATGGGCAATAAGCTCAGCAGAGGACAGCTGGCCAACTTTGATTAATGAAGAAC